TAGGTCTACTTAAAAATGTATTTTGAAAAAAAAAACAGTCTTATCATTTGAATCACATACACCGTAATCTGTATTGAGCAAATTGTTATGTATACATGGTATTTATATTTAGTATTCAGATTAAAAAAAAAAATTCCGGTTCACGTGTGAAATGTCTCTTATATTTATTTAAGAAGTAGTACTAAATATTTAGTAAAGTATTTTGTTATTTTGTGACGATCATAAGTGTGACTTCTAAATGGTTTAGAATTTGAGAACTTCAATACTTTTCACGTTATTCAGTATAATGGCATAATATAAATTTAAAATTTATTGAGTTTGAAAAAAAATTACTACTGAGCTAATTTGGATCTTTTCAACCAATAAATGCGTTTTTAGTTTATTTGTATTCGAATATATTTTAAAAAAAAAATATTTTAGATTGCAAAAAATTTACGACACGGACGAGACTTACACATGCTGAAGTGTACCGTGCTGCTGGTCTAACCAATAGCTGGTTGAGTAAGATATTAGCATCGGACAACATTATCTGTTAATATTAAATTATACTGTTAAGATTAAATTATGTTTTATTTTTATGTTTATCAATAAGTATTATATATGTTTTTGTGTGCCCTTGTATAGTAGTCAATAAATTTATTTCTCTCTCTCTCTCTATCTCTTTCTACCGTGTCTCACACTGTCATCGTATTTTAACAAAAAAGGTTTGCTGTTTCTGAGCTAAATACATTCAATGTTATTATATTAGAAATCGATTTATATTAGCAATTCTTCCTTATAGTTCCTTCCTACTAAGATAATAAATAAGCCTCTACTTAGATATAATAATCTTCAGTGGTATTATTTCTGCCTCCGACATGTAATAAAAGTCATACGCTCCGCTTAAAAACGTGTAAATTTTACCGTGTCGCGAGCGGCGCTTATAAAACTATCGATTTTAATAGCCTTTGTACTCAGTGTATTTTATAGCTGTTAGTTGATAGCCAATTTCACTCTTCACTACACTTCATAGAAAGAAGGCATCAAGATATTTTCAGCCGGAAGATAATTGCTTAATCATAGCTCGTCTAGAAATTCTTGAGTTCACTGCTTTTAAAACGTAACTGTATAAGATTTTTAACATTTATCTAAAATCCAATTAATTCTCTATCTGTAGTTTATGCAAGTAGGATATATTTAAACAAAACACTGTAACGGGATAAAACGCGTAAAAAATATTAGTTTAATTTTTACCATACCGTAACGCATAGCTACAAAGCCTCCGAAATATCAGGCCGTAGTTACAATAAATTTCAAATAAGTTTAACTAATATATATCGCGTTTTAAACCGTTAAAGTGTTTAATTTAAAATCTGTTAATTTTGTATGTTTGTATATTATATTTTTAACATACTGAATGGCATAAAAGTTCGTACACTAAAAGTAGTACTTTTATAAGATTGATAAAAGTTCGAGTTGATAAGTAAATATGGGACGTAGACTATATGATCAAGTTAACTGATACATTTCGCGTTTTAAACCGTCTAAAATGTTTTCTTAAAATGTATACTAATCGCGTACTAGGAACATATTAGCCCATATTTTACCCACAACTGTTTGACCTTTACACCTACGATTTAAAACTCATTAAACCTTATCTTGATATTTTAAACATTAAAATTACTTTCACAGCACTTGGTCATTAAGTATCTAGTTACTTGAATATTATAAATATCAAGGTAAATCTTTGAACGGTTTGACTCAAAACCAATAATTAATTTGAAATTACATTTCAAATATTTAATTGGTTGGCGATTTGAACGCAGTATTGAATTATAGTCCAAACTAAGAATATACTATATTACCCAATTATGCTCACTAATATAATTTAACTGTATACTGAAATTTTGATTATACTAATTTGTTTGTTATTAACTACCCCAATATGGTGTAGTCGCGACAGCTTCAAAGCAATTTACTCCCCTTTATATTCTGAACTATATGTATACTCTATAAGCGTTTTCTGTCAATATTCCATCCACAAAACTGTATAATTATTTTTGTTAATGCCCTGCACGCTTCCAGTATCTTTTATTTTTTCAGTGCTGAAAGAAATTCGTCTTTAGCGACAAGGCCGATCCTTCCCCCCCATGACCTGCAAGAATCGTTTCCTTTATATTGTATTATATTTTTAAGGAAAAATTTATTTTATTTATGTTTGTGTGTTTTGCAATAAAGAATTAAATAAATATATTCTGTACGTTGGGACTATGATACTATGGGGTATATGAATGGAAGCCCTTTACTTTTTATGTTAAATATATTCGACCGATATCTTGAACGAATTTCAATATTTTCAAAAATAGAAGTGGTAGGTGGGTGAATAATTTTGAATGCCGACTAAAGGTCATTTGGCTGCCAATATAGGCTCACTCTTCGGCGTGGCCCGAATAAATTATACTGGTCTAATGCACACGAAAGACATTTTAAGGGTTTATAGGAAATTATTTTTAAAGCTGCGTAATTGAAGAATTTCTTAAAAGGTCGGCAGTTTGTAGGCGCCTAATTATTCCTGTGAAAAGAGTAGCCCGTAATAGGATTAAGTAATTTTGTAAGAAGAAAGGAGGAGTTATTGGTGAAATTATTTTTTACATTTTCCTTGTTTTACGCGCGGCATCACCTTATAGACCATTAGGAGACAGTATAAAATATTGTATAATATTTTATATACTGTTTATAGTTTACGCGAGTAGTACACATTTCAATAAAACACTTTAACGGTTTAAAACGAGGACCCACGGGATAAAAAGCACGGGCAAGACTTATTTCAAACGCAGCATTTGTTAATTTTTCATGATATTTTTAGGGTTTCTCTAGATGCCACGATCGATTATTTATGATATACAGATATACCGAATAAATCAACGTGTTTAAATGTAACGTAATATTTGCAACGACTAATCCAGCCTCAAAAAGGCAATTCAAGACTGAGAACACTCGAAACATTGAAAAGGTTATTTTCTATTGAAAACAGAATGCAAGTACGTATTCAAAGCACCTTGACCCAAAAAGAGCTTATTACGATTTCTATGGGGTTTACTGAAATAATCTAAATGTAGAGTAAAATTCGTTTAGATCTTAATTTAAGTTTATACCTAAAATTGTTTGTTCAAATATTTAGTGAAGGATTTCACAATAACAGCCATCATTTCCCTAAAAGTACGTACTAGAAACCTTATACAATTAGTTAAAAAAATACTTGTACAGCTCTATATATATATTTTTTTATTATTTGAATTTAAAGAGTGCCTTTATCTGCATTTAAATATTTTAAGTTAAAAAGCCAATATGCTGTTTTGTCAAAAAGTTATTAAAAAAAATAACAGTTACGGCATTAGTAAATTTCTGTAGCTTTAAAATGTAAGTAGTAAATTATCCAATTACTATTGGAGAAATACAAAATGTAAAATTTCCACAACAGGACCGTCCTATAAATATTCAACCGTTAATTCCTTTGTTAGATCCAAGCGTCTCATACATACTTGTTGATTACACGCAACAGTTATAGTGCGGATATAAATAAATACATATATTGTTAAATATTTACTTTACAAAGGGACTTACTGTTATACTCGCCGGTTGGTTCACAATAATTATTTCAGGGACATTCAAACTGTGTCGTTTGAGCGAGCGCCTCTTGCGGCGGCCAGAGCTTTACTGAAAGCCAGGAGGTTGTACTTCTACCTGTTACGCGGGTAATTGTTCACAATTCCCGACTTTGCAATGGGAATGCCACGTTACAACGTCACGTTGACGCCATACTCGCAATGTGTGTTTAATGCGCCGAAAGCATCGATCTACGACGTAATTTTTCTTTGATTAAAATGATTTACTTTGCTTTGACAAAAATTAACAAACTTTACAATAAATATTACACACTTAATAGATTTTACAACATCAATTGTTTTAATATGTCGGCTTTTTAAATTAAGCATGTAACACTTTATATTATTGGTAAGATAAGTTTAAATCACACGTACAAAGTTCTTCGGATTACACTCGTATACTCATTTTATTCATTAAAAAAACATCATTGATATGTACACATAAATGTGCAGACCGAAGGCAAACAAAATGATTTTTTATATACATGTATATAGAAATCATATGACTTCTTAAGAAGGGGTAAATTATAATGGTTTAAATACGGCGTAGTTATTTTTAGTGCTCACAACGCCCTCTAGTGAAAAATTTCGGTACGAATCAGTAGCTACGAGTTGGGAGCTTTCTCATTTTGATCAACAGTTTTATGTTTATCTATGAAGAGTACAGACAAAGTATACATTTAAGTATAACACGAATATACATAGAGTATATGATTAAAAATAATACATTTTCAATGTGCTGTAGCTATTTGTTTTCTGTTAAATTAGTCAATGAGCCGTTCCGTTTAGTCTGATATCAACGGATTATTTTTTATCTGTATTGGATTTCCCAACCGTATATCAAGGAAAATCATATTGATAGAATCAATTTTTTTCTGGTTTCATATATTTTATACAAGTACTTATTTATATTCACAAACATCTGCGTAGTTATTAAAATAGCCTTGCTACTCGGCGAATATTTATGTTTTTTGACATTTAAATTAAATATTCAAATAACAAAATTACATATTTCTAAAAATCACAAAGATAATAATTGAAAAGTATCATTTTGTTATTGAGGTGTTTAGAAGCTTCTCTTACACATTAGAGTAGTCGAATGTTTTCTTGGAAATCAGATATGTTTTAGTTATAGTTTTACAATTTAACGTTGCTAAACATATATTTATGTATGATTTTGAAAAACCAAAGCCAAAAAAGGTCCACAACCCACCTTGCTTAAATGTTTTTTTATGGCGGGGGAATTCCCCCCCCCATAAAAAAACCCCCCCCCTTTTTTTCCCCCCCTTTTAAAAAAAAAATATAAAAAAAAAAAAAAAAATCCATGTCTTAACAAATACCTTTATTACTAGCTAATTACAACTCGGTGTGCGGCGAAGGGAATTTCTTTAAAACCGCGTGATATAGGTTATAAAAGGCGTAAAATGACACGCTTAAGATCACAACCAATGACCCCCCGAAGACGAAGCTGAGGAAGCTACCATCGATCATATTTGTTCCTTCGAGGCTGGGCGCGTGGCCTTGGAACAGCTCCTTGGTACCAGCGCCAGCTGCTTTCCTCTCCTCCATCATTCGTTTCATGGAAGATAATCTCTCTTTCAACTCATCTATCGATTCCATGACATCTTCTGACTCTGAAAAAAGATTAGTCGTAAATAAAAATATAATACAAGAATCATTATATTTCAATAACATCAAAGAATTAACGGCCACATTGTGTAATTTGTTGTCTTTGTAACGTTAGTAGTCTCAGGTTCGGATTCTTATCAGTCAAAAACACAGTATTTTTCAATAACCTCATTGTTTTGTAATTAGTATTAATGTGAAAATTTTATTTTGAGAAAGCCTACAAACGTTTGCGAGTGATTTTCTGTTGTAACGTTTTCTGAGAATATGTATTATACAAAATGAATATAAGTACTGAATATTACTTATAGCCAATAAATAATCTAAATTCTAGAAAACGTATAAACAAAAAAAAACTTCTTAGATTCATTAACAGTTATGCTTAAGTCTTTGAGACGGTAATCAATTTTAAATACCAATATGTCACTTATATGTTTACATTTTTAAAGCACTTCCTTCATACACATAACAGTAACCTATAATATTTACTACTGTAGCATTATTTTATGCCGTCGTAAGTAATGAATGAATATGTTATGCTAATATATAGTTAAAAAAACACTACCAGACAACACACACGCACACTGTGTATATAAAATTCACTAAATAATACCTTTTGTTTCTTTTTCGGGTGCCATTTTTATTGCTACACTAATTCAGTCTAATGTTTTGGTTATAACGAGTCGCGGATTCTGTCAAAAAACGGCGCATGCGCGTAGTCGCACTATTCTGGAATGTATTGATTCGAACCCTGGGAACGATCCAGGCTTCTGTAGGGAATATTGTCTAGGATTCACTTTGACTTGTCCTTTGTAATGAAAGACAAAATAAAACTGATCTGTATTTTTTTACATAAAAAACGTATAATAAGACACAGAAGACAAATATAAATATTTAAATAGCGTTACCCTTGAAAAACTCTTTGTTCGCAAAAATTAAAAATCTAAGTATACACACAAAGTGAAATGACTACGTTTGTAATATACGAATGTTTGAAGCTGACAATAATGTTACGTTTCAAAATTTAAATTAAAAATTTACTGTAAATAATGTATATTTACTAGACTTGCAACGAATATTCGGTTACTATTCGGTATTCGGCCTATTCGGCTGCTTTTATTATATTCGGCCGAATACCGAATATCTACATATTATTCGGCCGAATAACAATACCTAAATAATATATTTTGTCATAGAGAAATAATTGGTAAAATGAAAAATTAAAATCGATTGCTTACGTATATACTTATTCATATTTTTGTTTCTGTTATAATCATATAAGTAGTCATTGGTACATAATTGGTGGAACCCTCACGAGGAAAAATATATACTCATGCTAGAGAAGATCCAAAAAGCCTTTCTGCGGTTTCTTTACAAACACCAATACGGTTTTTACCCCTACTTGTATCCTACCTTGTTTTTATTAGGACAGCTTGGCTTTAATTCTCTTGTAAGTCGCAGATCTCGTGGGCAATTAGTTGTAGCTTGTAAGTTGTTTCGAAACCAAATCGATGATACTTATTTGAGGGAAGCCTTCTGTCGACTGTTTGTACCGAACAACTATGGCCACGCTAGAAGACACGATCTCTTTGACGTCCCGAGAGGTCGCACCTCTGCTCGCGCGTTTTCGCCGATACCACGAATTTTAACCTCACTCAACGCTCTCCTCAAGTTAAGACCCAAATGTGATCTTTTCGCAGATCACTGGTCATCAATACTGAGAGAATTGTCTGATTTTTAAATTTTGTCCTAATGTAATTGATGCATACTCTATTGTTAAGTGTAATTCTATTGTGTACAGAAGTACACAATAGAATATTGGATAGAAATCCAATTAATGTAAGTGGCTATCGCTGTTTTAATTGTCTTTATAATAAATAAATAAATAAATAATACTATAATAGTAGTAATTGGTACATAATAATAACGAGTACGTTAGAACAAAACAAAGGAGCGCGAAACAATCACGTCTGTACAAGTTTTTGGAGCAAAAATCCAGCCGAATACTTTTGCCTAATATTCGGCTATTCGGTCAGGGGTCTCGCCGAATATTCGGTATTCGGTATACTGCCGAATATACTATTCGTTGCAAGTCTAATATTTACACATTTCATTATTCAGCCTCTAATGATACTAAAAACGGTATGAACATACAAAATAATAAAACAGCAAATATATTTTTTGTTCGGTTTTGGTGCAATTGTTCAATTTTCAATTCACACGAAAACGACAACAGTTACAATTGGATCTGACAGGATTCTGACCACCTACCTTTCTGTAGATAAAATAGAAACGAAACAGATACAAAAATGTGTTGTATGCGCTTAGTAGAAACGAGATTTTATCGTCATGAAATCAAACATTAATGATTTCTTATTGACGATCATTTATTTGAGATATGCGTTTATAAAATCCAACTATCTTCCGTTAAAATCAGGCTTAAGAAACTTAGTGGACCTCGTCATTAGTATTTATTAAGCTTATCAATCTATAATTTAAGCACCAAATAATAATAAAAAACCTTTCGAAAACAGAAAATAATAAAATAGTATATATCTTTTTGTTCGCTTTTGGTTCAATTTGTTATTTGTTAAATAGCAAGTGCGTTGATAGAGGAAGTCAGACAAGGCATATAACATCACAACAAGATGCGCTATCGACCTTTTGGCTTTGGATATTCGGAAATCCACAGACTGAAACCAAAACGCGATTAAACTTCACGGCTTTTAATCTTTGCATGGTGGTTCGTAATCCGGACGGAATTTGCGATATACCTACCGCACATTTAATATCCAGATTTTCAGAGGAAGTCCCACATGTTTCAGAAAAATTAAAAACATGTTGGACCCGGCGCTTGATTTCATTGCTACCATTAGACTAAAGAGCTCGTCAAAATACTTTGTCGTAAATGATTGTTAGTTATAATGTATAACTAAGTATTTTTAAATACTGTCTATAGTTTACGCGAGTAGTACACATTTAAATAAAACACTTTAGCAATATATTAGTTAAACTTATTTGAAAATGATTTTTAACTTCGGCCCGACGTTTCGAATGCTTTGCTTTGTTTTATCTCTGTCTCCTGATAAGATTAGCGCAAAAAGTTTTTTATGTTGTTTTGTTTTCTGGTGTGTAATTATTCCTAGTGTTTTTGTATTTGTTTCTTATTTTAATAAATAATATAAGTACGTAGAATAACACATATAGACTGCGATGTTGCACGAGAGGTTATAAAATTACATAGAAATTTGATGGCCACAGACGTGACACTATAGCTCAATTGATAGAGTAAAGGCTGTTTACGCAATTGATCTTGGGTCCAAGTTCCGCCTGTGTCGTCAACTCGTTCATTATTTGAATTATTTGTGTTGTTACAATGGTTTGGAGCACAATCCTATATTCTTCAGCACGTGTCAGTTCATACCATAAACAACACGATGTGCGCTGAAAGATATCGTCAGCTTCTACGAGAAGATAGAGTGACCTCCAACATGATATGCGCCGGAGTTTGGGACGTAGGTCAAAAAGACCCATGTAGTGGTGATTCAGGTGGACCGTTGTACACTGGGGGCATCGTTGTGGGTATCGTGTCCTGGGGCTTTCATTGTGCGGAGCCATTCTATCCTGGTGTGGCCACGGACGTCGCTTCTTACACTAACTGGATTATAAAAAGTACACGTTAATAAATGTTATGAAAATATTATTGTTTTCTTTTTTAATTTTACAATTTTATTAAGCTTGCCTGAGCTTATTATATTAGCAATACCACGCAAAATAAAACATTTTTAAGCAAAATCTAAAATGGAGGTTCTTAATTTGCACATATTAAAAAAATATTATTGCGTAATGAAATAATCATCCACGCGGACGAAGTCGCTGACTCAGCTAGTAAGGGTATAAAGAAGTTTCTGAAGCTTTGTAATTATCTGTATGGTGTAGATGTGGTCAATAGCAAAGTAACCTTTTCTGAATCCTGCTTTTTCTACGAGTTGTGCACTTATTTGTTGAACTAAATTAAAAATATATTTAGTAACATATTGACTGATATATAGATAGTATAGTATTCGCTTAAGACCACTATTCGTAATGACTAAACTGTTTTAATAATGATTAAAACAGTTTAGTCAAAGAACCCGCCAAAATTTCGAAAAACTACGTCTGATGACAGATCCAGGGCGAATTTTTTTATTAATTTTTTTAGTGTTTCTTTATAAGACTTCTTATTTAGTTAATTGTTTTATATATGAAATCCTTTTGCTTCCGTGTTACGAAAGTATCAACATATTTCGATCCAAATTCGTAGTAATCAAAGGTGGTTTTCTCTCTCTTCTTTCATAAACGTTTTATAATCTACTCGTTTGATTGTTTATTAAGACTGTATGTATTTACATGTGACTTACAGGATATAATGTAAAACTTATTAATGAGAATTAAAATCATGTTATCAGTTTACGGAATTTCACAGATTGTAATCATATCATTTATCAAAACTTATTTTTGATTAAATAAAAATCTGAATGACTGACGATAGTATAAATAACAAAGACACAAGTGATGTTTATAGTGTACTAAAATCAACAAATATGATGTGGTCCACTGTCTTTACCATTATTTTGTTTTCTGGTATTGATATATTATTTAATTAAAACTGCTTTTTAACTTTTACAACAAACTGTGTGTCAAAATAGGGCCATGGTGGTGTAGTGGTATAGTGCACGACTAGGAATCGAACCCTGAACCTTTTGAAGTACTTAATCTAGTTAAAGATACACCTAATTGATTACACGTTGAATATATTAAGGTCTATAGACCTTCTTAAGAGAATCTAGTCCCAGCTGTGGGAACTATTTAAAAAATATTATATACCCTATTTCAGGGGCAGCTGTGGGTAGAACTCTTCACGGTGGACGCATTGTCAACGGAAACAATACGAGGATAGAAAATTACCCATTCTTGGTCCAAGTCGATGTCTTCCAGTCGTATGGTGATTGGTGGCCCAGCTGTTCGGCCAATATTTTAAAGGTCAACTGGCTTTTGTCTGCTGCACATTGCTTCGAGGGAAGGTAAGTAAAATTTTAAGCTCTTGCATAACCTATTTGTTACTAATACTACTAAATTTTTCCTTGCAGACCAGTTTTCTATGAGACTTGAAAAGTGAAGGTTTTAGTTTAGAATTTAATACACCTATAAACCAATCTCCAAAAGATACACACGAGCTTATTTTATGAACGGTCATCACTGATATATTAAGCTCAGCTTCAGGCAACAAATACACTTTAAAATTTGTAAATAAATCCAAAATTTAAGTGGCCGAATAAAATTAGTACTAAACCGGCTAAGATTAACTTGATAGTTGAACTTGTTAATTATTTGTAATATAAATTAAAATATCAATTTCACATTAAAAAAATATACAACAAAGGATTTAAGCCGGTATCCACAGATATCCGTGCTGTTGCTCTAACCAATTAAGTTAACGTGTCCTACATGGCATTGTTGAATTTTTGCAACTTATTCATACATGCGCCTCTCGCCCAATTTCTATGAAACATGCATATTTCAGAGATTACAAACCAGAACACAGGAGAATCAGAGCTGGAACCACTTTCAAGGGTACAGGTGGAGTGATCCGTTATGTTGATTACGACATAAAACATCCAGACTACCGCGTCGCTGCGAGATACGACGCAGACATCAATGTGGTGAAACTCCTGGAACCGCTGCTGTACAGCCCCGTCATACAGAAGGCAACCATAAATGTCGCTGGAAACCATTTACCTAATAACATACCCGTAATATACGCTGGCTGGGGCAGGACAGATGTAAGTTTGTAATTCTATATTAAATCCTGTTTCTCTGCGCAATCCCCTCTCGGAAGTAAGGTGTTAGTTCTTCTTTTTTTCCCTTATATAGATATCCAAAGATATTTGGAAGGGAAAAAAAAAAAGTAAATATAATCCTGTTAAGAGTTTAATTAAAACCCAGGTGGCGAGCTTTGATTTTTAATCATGTGTTTCGCTGCGCATTTTAATAAGTCTTGGTTGTAGTTACCACAAAATAAGTAGCAATAGTGATTTGTGTCGCTAGAAGCATACGGAAGCCATTTTTAATGATTGAAGAGTACAGACAAACACTGTGCAGTGCTTTTGACATTTCAATCTTCTTATCTGTGGTCAAATGAAAAACTGAATATCAAATCGGATTTAACGCAATGCGTTTTTAACTCCCGTGCGCACGACGCATTACGCGAAGAAGTAGACAACAGATGTCGTATTCTAAACCTTAACATATTATTTTTTAGTTCTTCGGAGGTCAACCTTACATCCTTCAGCACGTGTCTGTTTACACAGTGGACAACGCAATGTGCGCTGAATACTATCGCAAGCATAATAGAAGTGATTATACGGTCACACCCAACATGATCTGCGCTGGTTTATGGGAAGAGGGTGGAAAAGACGCTTGCACTGGTGATTCTGGTGGGCCGTTATATACCGGAGGCGTCGTCGTCGGTATTGTGTCGTGGGGTCATCTATGCGCGGAGCCCTTCAACCCTGGCGTTGCGACCGACGTTGCTTCTTACACTGACTGGATCGTAAAAACTGCTCGATGAAAATAATAATTTCACATATATTTGCTTTTTATTTAAAGTACGTTCATTTTTTTTTTTTTTTTGAAACGTAAGACAATATCTTATGAATTTGATTGAACGCCCTAATCTCATGAACCTCTAGTTGGAATTGAAACATTACTTTTTCTGTTGGTTAGAGAATTCATAGAGGAAAGCTTTTAGTTATATTTAAAACCGTAAGCCTTCCTCCACAAATGCATCATGCCAAGAATCACAGAGAAATGTGGAAGAATCGGGAAATTTTAATATAATAAAGTTTTTTCTCTTTAAATTTTCAAAAAGATCTACCTAGTGTTGCCTCTTTAGTTGGTATTACTAAGTTACGTACAGACTATCCCAAACAATATGGTTCTGCCGGGGTTCGAGATAACACTACAAATCTATTTTGGCGCGCACAAATTTTAACACGCACTTACCACATTGAACTTACGCGTATAACTTAAATTACTACTATATATTACTAACTGACTCGCTTTTATTTAGTTTAATAGCTTAAACGCTTTATTATAATTAAAAATATTGTTTCCTACCTGTCCTGTTAGGATGCATATTATAAAGATGAGATCTTTTGTTTGTTCAGTTGAATGCCATTAAAAACTAACGACCGATTCGAAAAAATTGTTCACACACTAAATAGGTCTAATTTAGTTTAATAATTTTGGAAAATAAAAGAAATTTCAGACACCGTTAGTCAATTCTGCAAGGATTCGGCCAGTTTCGCCAAATACCAACTATTCTCCATTTTGAGTCTCCCCATGACCCCGGCTGCTGCCAAGCATCCGAAATGTCGAGCCGTAGTTAAAATATTTTTTTAAATAAGTTGATCTAATATATTTTTTTTCTTTTTAAACTGTTAGAGTAAAAAAATAATAAGTTTAACTAATATATCGCGTATTAAACAGTTAAAGTGTTTTATTGAAATGTGTACTACTCGCGTAAACTATAGACAGTTTTTAACTGTTAAAGTGTTTTTTTAATTGTGTACTACTCGCGTAAACTAAAGACTGTATTTACTTTAAGAGTTTCTTAGTCTGCGGCGCCTATACGGTAAACGTTACCTGGAAATACATAAAGAAAAAAGATAAGTAAAAACGTGGAGATAAGTTTTTTTTTAAAACTCATTATTGATTAAGAGATATGGAGAAGGCCATTCGGTATTCCCAAATGTATTACAGATTATAATATTATTTACTGGCCTCACTATGACAGTCGGTACGGAACATAAATAATAAAACCTTTTTTTTAAAAAGGAAGAAAAACAGTTTAACACTCTTTGTCTTTAAAATAAAACACTTTAACGGTTTAAAACGCAATATATTGGTTAAACTTATTTGAAAATTATTTTGAACTACGGCCCGACGTTTCGGATGTTTAGCAAAGTTTATCTAAAATACATCGCGTTTTAAACCGTTAAAGTGTTTTATTTTAATGTGTATTACTCGTGTAAACTGTAGTTTGTGTCTGTAACAATATTATAATATTTACTATAATTTAATCGACTGTCTATAAAAACGGTTATGTGGTCTGGATAACAGGGAAATATTTCAGAGAAATTTATTAGTATACAACAATGATATCCGCGTAGGAGTCAGGGTGAAAGCTTTCAAACTTTAACCTGACCAAGTACAGCGCAGAAAAATAAAAACAAAAACCAAACGACCGACAATCAATATTAGCTGAGTCATTAGTAATTAGCAGATTTGATTCCGTATTGAAATTTAAAATGTTATCATTGATAGGAAATATGTTTATTTAAATTTTCACACTGCCTCACGATGAATGGTAATTTTAAAAGTTTAATACACATATCTTTAACACATTGAAATAAAACACATTTTACGGTTTAAAACGCGAACATTATTAGTTAACTTATTAACCATTTATTTTAACTCCAGCCCGATGTTCGGGATGCTTTGCAGCCGCCAATTTCACCGGAGACTAGGTGGCTACGGCTGCTGTGAATAATTTAGTTCATATATTTCACATTTTAAGCAGTTAAAAGTGTTTTATTTGAACACATTTTTATACAAACAATCATTCTGTAATTATTTCATAATATATTTACAAGCTTTGCCCACGACGGGTCGACGTGACCTGAGTCCGGTAATCTAAAGTATTGCGGAATCAACAAGAGTTCCGTGAATAGACAACAAAATAATCAGGTACAGAGTTCTAGATAAGAAAACAAGTAATCATTTAAGAAGCGCATTACGATTACAAATCATCATTTAATAGGGAGAAAAGTAACATCAAAGATGGGTTTATATTTGGCATTGTTTATCCTTATCACAGGTAACATTTTATTCCTTTTTGTTAAACTTTTAAATGAAAAAATATGATATGGTATGGTTTAAGTATGATTTTCTTAAGATAACCCTTCCAGGAAATGGGTTTGCGAATGCAAAACGGATCGTGGGAGGCGAAGAGACCACCATAGAAAAATACCCAAGCCTGGTCCAAGTGGAAATGTACACATCATGGGCTGAAGGCCAGCATTCTCAAAACCCAGTGGATTATGTCTGCCGCTCATTGCTTCCATGGATGGTTAGTCTTTTTGGTTTCAACGGAAATTGCGTACGTGTGCAACTGCAAGCATATGTAGTCACTGGCTGATCGTTAGTCAATAGCACGAGATGTTGCTACAACTTTAAGAATAATTTGCTTGCATTAATTTCAACTAAATTTTATGCCCAAAAAAATCATAAACCATAAAGGAGATTTTTAGATCATTTAAAGACATTTTTTTGCATTTGCACTAAAGATGAATAATTTTTCCCATTTGATTTTTAAATTAGAAACAGTAATTCCCTAGAGCAAACATACTCCTCAGATCATTGTATAGTATAGATTTGCAATATTTTTTTTATTGTACTTTTCCTTTCACCGCAACAATATAATGGTAATAATATGAGCTATTAAAATAACTTAATTACATCAAACATATTCCAATTTACAACCATAATTCTATATAGGGCCGCTTCATAGAGTAGGTTACTGACGCCGCGTGTACACCTAAATAGAGTAATTCTAAGTCTCCCCGTGACCACGGCTGCTGCAAAGCATCCGAAACGTCGGGCCGTAGTTAAAAATCATTTTCAAATAAGTTTAACTAATATATCGCGTCTTAAACCGTTAAAGTGTTCTATTTAAACGTAGATACTTTTAAGACGAACGGCATCGGATCTAACAAGAAAAAATATGTAGTTCACTTAAAGTACGTGAAGACTGTAAAATAAACCTTCATAAAAGGCGAAGAAAGGAGTGACGGCGATTTTCTTGCCAGTTCTTCTCATTTGTCCTACGCCCTTGATTTGAGAACTGCCATTGCGCAACTCGGGCGGTCATAAAGTAAATGTTTGTTTACAAGCTATCGTTTAATTGGTAACTTAGAAATAAATGTTCTTTCGCTTTGTTTGACACTGATAGTTATTGATAATATTCTATTAATATACCTAAAGTATATTCTTTAGCAATATTAACAAATCCTTCTTCACTCTTTTTTCACTATCTTACATATTGTATGACAAGATATATAATCTTACAATGTTCAGTAGCTATATAATTTTGAACATTAATCGTTTTAATTTAATTAGTATAGCTGACTTAAAAACAAAAAGGTAATTTCAAAATATTTGTCTGCGTCTATACCTCTTCTGTGCTTCATTTAATTATTCCCGACACATTTCTATAATAATGACGTATATTCCTTAAAGAAAGGTGCTAGTCTAAATATACCTTAATTCTGTAATAGTCTACTCTTACATACTTTGATAAGGGACGGTTTGATTGTGAGTACAAATAAATTATACCTATTATATGACATCTGTCTAAACATAATATGAAATAGACATCGGTGTAACAAATATATAAAAAAACATACATATAGCTTAAAAAAATATATTTATTGTCAAACATAATTGTTTAGCCTCTAGCGTTTAAGAGTACCCAGTCGGTATAAGATGCGACAGAGGTACTGATTCCTGGGTATGTAGCGTTGGCGCATCTGTGGCCCCATGAGACGACACCCACGATGATTTTTCCAACATAGAGGGGACCACCAGAGTCTCCTTGGCAGGCATCACGACCACCGACATCCAAAAGACCAGCGCAGATCATGTTGGGCGTGACTATTTGGTTTCCAGGCAGTTGTGTGTATCTAGTTCTGCATAATTCGTTGTTGATCGTGTACATTTCAACGTGCTTGAGAACTCTCGAGAGGCTTCCACCCCACTGTAAAATTATTGGACTTATATTGCAAATTCTAACAAGATATCTAAGTATTCTTTTATGTAAAGTCTACCGTATATTGCTATATTAAGTCCCTTCATAAAACAAAGAGCAATAACATTCGAATGCGATGAAACGATGGAGTGCACACTATCCTAAAGTGAGGATCAAAATATTCTCTGGAAATCTGGATATTAAATGGGTGGTAGTTCCGGTTTTCGTCTATGGATTTCCGAATATCCAAAGCCAAAATAGGTCGACAGCGCATCTTGCTTAGGTACTTTAGGCTGGGGTATATCACCTACCATCAACCCCATGCCATGTCTGTTCTCCTCTACCTTATTTTTTTTTCTATTCTATTTTTTTCTTTATCGTACTTTATCTGCCTGTATTATAAAAAGTAAGGATGTCATTACTTACAGTGGTGTCACCCCAACCAGCGTGAATCACTTGTGTGTTGTCGGGAACCACAAAGCCCTGAGGAACGATGGTGGCTTGCTTGATGTAATTAGAGTAGACAAGTGGAGTCTTGAGTTTCACCACATTGATATCGGCATCAAAACGTGCAACACGACGGTATTCTGGGTGGTTCCTTTCAAACTCAACGTAGTGGATATCACCACCTGAGGTTAAATACGTGGTACCAGCTCTGATACGCCTTGCTGCTGGAGTGTAATTCCTGAGAGAAAATCATTTAGATTTATACTATTTTCTTTACTAAATTTATCGTTGACTTCTTTGTTTAATAATGAATTAAATCTTTTAAAAAAATCACCCGCAACCCTTAAAACAGATTGTCATACTATTATCTCTGGAGTTATGCTATAACATTTAGGCCTGTCACGAAAAGATGTTAAATACTCGAATAATATCAGAACTATTACCATCCTTCAAAACAGTGTGCAGCTGACAAAATCCATCTTGAAGTGAGGATGTTAGCTCCACATCCCAAACTCCAGCTTCCAAAACTTGGCAAGGTTTCCACTTGAACTATGTAAGGGTATTGTTCGATGGTTGTTTCTTCTCCACCGACGATACGTTTAGACTGGACATGAGCGAATCCTAACATAAAAGAACATAAGAATTGTTGCCAACCAAATCATAAGGAAGTAATAAAATAAATTGAGGTGAGTTTTTGATCAATATAAAATTACTCGAGGAGTCCCGAAAAAATGCTAAATAGATTTATTTTTTCTTATTTTTTCCATGTAAATGATAAAATGCTACTAAATAATAATTAAACGTATTGCCTAGCATAGCGGAAAGCGCAGTTCGAATCCCGGGAAAACAATAAATTGTTTCGATTGGGCAAGGCACAGCAATCTGATCAAATGTAAAACCCATCCGTAAAACGGACACAGGAATATGTTCGCTCCATGCCACAGAAGCCCCTTCTGTGGCGCGAACATGAAGCATGGAGCGAGCGGCATTTTTCAACTAAAGATAAAGTTTGAAGAGAAATATATTTAAAATATCGCAATGCTGGACACTGTTCTTCTCTGTTATAGCACAGAGCCGAAAAAATGGAGCCGAGCAGTTCCAAGACAAACCGGTTGGCATCAACGATTATCGACGCTAAATTAGCGGTAGTAGCTGGGACCAGTAGCTTAACGTGCTGCCCGAGGCACGATGAAGGAGAACAAAAATAAAAAAAAAGATACACTGAGACTAAATATAAAAAAACACACAAAATTACCTGCAAGGAACAGAACCGCCACCGTACAATAGGACACCATCTTGATTTTTTTCACGGAATACAGACTGTGGAAAAAAAGTCGCCCTATTTAAATGGTAAGATAATAATTATTTTATTGCAGTTATAAATAAATTTTAATATTCCGGTGGCTTATCGCTGTGTATTCACTTTGTGTTCAAAGAGTGTTTAATTACTTAATCCAAGACCAGATAAGTTTGTTACATATAGTATTTACAATTTCTACAGTTATCAAATTTAATTACTAGAATTTAAATGTACACTCCATTTATTTGTTCATATATTTTTAAAATGTATTGGACTCTATTAAAACATACCTATTCTATTTTGTATAGATAATTTAAGAAAAGCTGATGATTTAGTGACAAGGTGCGCTATCGACTTTCTTTTCGTTGAAAAAGTATATAAGTTTTCTGCCAGCAAAATTAAAAAAACCGTACACTTTTCAGATATTCCTACCTACGTATTCAATGTCCAGATTTAGACATGGGTTAAAAGAATATTGCTTACGATCATGTTGGATTCGACAGGAATCAAATAAAAATCGGTAATTATTATTAGTAATAAATTGCTACGTTTCGACTAATGGACACGTAAAATTTATACATTTACTTAAGGAAACACTAGTGTATTCTTGCTAATAAAAAACGATTCTAGATTTTTTTTTTAATTACGGTCAGCTCTTGAACCGGTATCCGCAGCGTTTCGTGCTGTTGCTCTAACCACTTGAGCTATTGTGTCGAACACTTCATCGTGGATTTTTTTGTCAACCTATTATTATTAAATCTCTCGCTCAATATTAAAGTTTTTAATTTTTACATGTGCAACTAATATTATTTACAATAGAAGGAATAAAATTTTACTTGATTAATAATATTATAGAAAATACGTAAGTAAAGAAAAACGTAAATATTTGACTAATTCTTGCTGTTATAGATTAAAAGATTATGGATTTCAAATTTATCGGTACAGGCTTAGAATTAAAACCTGTAATTATAATTGTGGATTGGTAATTTAGCGTACTATTATATAATTATTTTCAACGATGCCACTTAAAGATGGAGTATGGGAAATGCCGGTTTTTTGCTAAATTTTAATTTTCTCTTCTGTCAGCAAGTTTGTGAAGAAAACCAACGGTTGAAAATTGCTAAAAAGAAATTAACCAACCACATAACAGTAATCTCTATCAATATTATAACGATGAAGAGTTTTTTGTTAAAACTCTCAAACCTTAGCATAATAATATAAAATGTTAACCAGGCTATAACCAATAGAAGCGAACACAGTGTAAACATGGGAAGAAATATTCATCTTTGAAGGCTATCGCCGCGTGCGCTCCGGAAACGTTTCAAGATACTCAAAAAATGTGTATGACAGAATGATTTCTCTTGAAATTATCTAAAAACATGTCCACGACAGTATATGTCTACGACAGACTAGACGTCGTCGTGGGTAACAGCTATAATATATAAACATGTGGAGGACGTTTTTAAAAACAAATTTTGATGCCCAAAATAACTACTCTATACGAACGAAGTCGTGGGCTCAGCTAGTAGAACAATATATGGCAAACATTTCAGTAATGTCATTAATCCACAATGGTTGTGGCTTGATTTCTGTTTGAAATATAATTAAAAAACAACAGCTGCTAATTAGGAACATATTACAATATGTCGTCATTGAAATTTTGAGCAAATTTTAATGATGAATTACTTTTACAACAGTGGTCACTGAGAGACTAAGAAAGCACCCGAAAACTCTGGCCGTAATTAAAATAAGTTTAACTCATATATTTCACGTTTTAAACCGTTGAAATATATTATTTAAATGTGTTACTACTCGGCAATAATTACTTATTCGTTTGGGCTACATTCGAGCAGATGTCATCAAATTGCATATTTTGTTCAAGCTTTTCCGACTTGGAGTTTTGACTTTGTGATTAACATATTCCACCAAACAAACAAATCAACATTTTAGCTTTTTAACACTTATATAACATGAGTGTACATAGCGTAGATTTTTAGTAATTATTTTTTTTAATACATCAATAAATTTACTGTCCACGTACAAAAAATGCCAATATACGCCCAAGACAAATGATTTTTTATTATAATACTACTATCATTTCACACTATCAATTAGTAAATAATAATCAATATTGAATAATACGACACATATTAATTATTTTATGATGTTGAAAAAATACTTTAATTCAAATACGAACTAAAATGTGTTTTTAAAAAGATATATTTAAAAAAGGGAATAAGTAATTACAATTGTAATAAATGTTTGACATTAGGTCAAAAGCGATTTGTTTTTTATAAAATTTCATGTTACATAATGACATTGTATAAATGAAAAATCTATACTTAGGTTAAACGAAAATGACGACACAGGAGTTGCAGTCTTAAATATATAAAAAATTTTAATTTATGACAATTTTTCTCCTTTAATAAATAGAAAATTGAACTTAATTTCTCTAGAAAATAAAACTCTATTAGCTGTTTCAAATATTTATTTGTTTACTACACTTTACATATTGATGAGTTAGCTCGAATTCCTCGTAATGGACAGAGCCACCTGACCATTTGTATGTCAGCTCTTATAATAATAATTATTATTATTATCAGCAATTATTATATAATGTCAGCTCTTATACTTATCTTCAAAAATGACAAATATATTTTCTAAAAAATCGGTTACAGAGATGTAACCGATTGTTTTATTCAATAACTGATAATATAAGTTTTAATAGAACTGCACGTTGTGAGATGAAATTGTAATGAATTATATTATACTTCATAACAGTGCCATGTTGTAGATTCTTATCCAATATCTATATTACCACCACCGTTCTGTTCCCAAATACCAGCCAAGAAAAATTCCACTCGCACTATCTAAAGGGATTATTCAACCTGCCAACAATTCAGCTAGACTGAACAACTGTTGCCTGACACAAAAAAATGCCTAATAAGTAAGTATTAGGTTAAATAATCCCTTTGACCGCGACTGCTGCAAAGGATCCAAAACGTCCGGGTCGGGGCATATTTAAAAAAAAAAAGTATTGTAAATAGTAGTATATTTAAGTAAAAGGATTCCTTTTTTTATTGGTTAAAGTAGAGTAAAATTTACTTGATATACTTAAGAGAATAATTTCACATTGCGCCATCTATAGAATTTTATTTGAACTACATAAATGGTATATTACATAATGTATGTCCCTTTAAAATGTTGGATTGTAAACTTAATTCGTAAAGTACAATTAGTCAAAAGTGCGACGTATTGTCTTCGTAAACTACGTTTTAAATTTGCGTCATGATAAATCACTAAAAACTAGATAAAAATTTCAAATTAAGTAATATTTCATAACAGTCAAGGGTAGACAAAAATGTTTTATGTAAAACATAAAATCTACCCGAAATAAGCTGTTACAACTTCATGTCTGCTCAAAGGATATTAAATCAACTATCGTTAAAAAAGAATTGCGGCAATACAATTTGAATTCAAAAATTATTTTGTAATTCTTGATCAACTGTTAAAACATTCATAGGTATAAATAGAAGAAATAACATTTTGGTTTTAACACCTAGATGGCGTGGAACACAATTTTTGTACAACTCAAAAAGCCTCCTATTAAAAGAAGAAAAAAAGAATATAAGTATGCAGACAATGTATGTATGATCGACTTTTTATGTGCTAGTTGCTATTCAAAATTTCGTGCTCGGACAAGACTATATAATATGTATTGATGCAATTGTAAGAGATTAATGACTCAATTATCGAAGTGCCGAAATATTGGCATCAGCGGGGACTGAAGACGTTTACACTCTGCCATCGTTGTCTTTATAAAAAATAGCTTTTACATTTTGAAAGGCGCCAATATACTACAGTGCCTTGTGTAATTTACTATTAATGCAGGCCTTATTGAAATTAAAAACAATATGCCTCAAGTTATCAAACACCTAGGTCCTAGGATCACATATTCAAAACTCTAGATTCCTTTAAATTGTTTCATTTATTATTAATACATTATTCCTATGTTATTATTTAAGAAATTTAGATTACATTATTTAAGAAGTCAAAAGAAATAAAATTCTGACATTAAGACAACTCTAATAAATTGTTTTGTCGTCAACTATATCTTGGTTTTGAAATCGACTTCCCCTATTCAGACAGAATCGTTCGTGTCTGTTTCGTTTTACTTCTTTATTGGTCATTTTAAATGTTTATATACCCTAATGTTACGAAGAACAAAAGCAGACTGTCGATATTCGACGTCATTTTGAATGCTTTTTAGTATTAGACGCGAAAAAAAATATTTTTCATACTGAACTTAGTACCTTTAATTCTTCACAAAATTATACTATACTGTTATCTTCTAAGTTATATTTGGTCAAGTTTTGTTATCATAGTTATGTGTTGGTAATATTGTGATTAATGGTAGGTAATTACTGTAATAAGACTTAATAAAGTAAGGTAAAATCTTTGTATCTGTGGATTTATTACACTTATTTCTTCTTATACATTTGACTTGCTCTTAACGTTTTAACTTTGAATAACAATGATTGTGATACGCGCAGCTATTAAATCAAAATATCTAATATAATAAAAAGTAATCGTCAATTAATTTATTTCAAGCTTTTCTTTACACATACAAATTAATAATAGTTTAATTGTATCCATCTTCTTGATCTTGTCTTATTTATAACTTATCCTCTAGCAGTCTGAACAATCCAATCCGTATATGAAGAGACAGCTGTACTGATTCCTGGGTAAGTAGCGTTAGCGCACCTATGCCCCCAAGAGATTACTCCAACGATAATTTTACCAACCAGAACGGGACCACCACCATCGTGCTGGCATGCATCACGACCTCCAACATCCAAAATACCAGCGCACATCATGTTAGGTGTAACAACAAGATTACCCGGTAAATCTTGGTAACGTAGTCTGCATAATTCGTTGTTTATTGTGTAGATTTCAACTTTCTTCAGACCTGTTGCTGGGTTTCCACCCCACTGCAAATCGCAAGCAAAAGTCAACGTACAACAACGATTATAAACAAAATAAATGAATAAGAGAATCTTGAATAAACCATTGCAGTATAAGATCCAATAAAATTTATAGTCGGTACAGTTAATAGTGTGAAAATGTATGTAAATGATTCTAGCATGCCTGTAAAGTACAAAAATAACCTGATATTTATACTCACGGCAGTGTCACCCCATCCAGCAAGTACCACCGGGGTATTGTCAGGAACTTGATAGCCCTGAGGAACTATAGTCCCTGGTTGAATATAAAGAGAGTATACAAAAGGACTGGTGACTCTCATAACTGACACGTCAGCATCATAGCGGGAGGCTACGCGGTACTGAGGGTGGTTAAACGTAAACCTTGGGTAGTGCATGGTGCCACCATGGTTGCGATAAGTGGTACCTGCTCGTATGCGCTTGGGGCTGACTTCCCTGTAATATTAAAACAAACATTTTTCCTTTTTTTTTTTTTTTTTTTTTTTTTTTACTTGGAGGAATCGACTCTTTACCGACGCCCCCGCCTGGCCACCTAAGTGGCGGGGGGAGTGTGGGGGTCGGCCAGCTTGACCACTACCCACTAAACCTCCAAGAGCCCACGGGAGACTTGCCGGACGCGAGCGGGCGGTTAGTTGCCCTTGACCCGCATGCCCGCGCCCGTGTGTCCTGCCGCGCGTGTTTCCCGCGCGCAGCTCGCCCTTCGTGGCCGGTTGTTGGCCACGTCTCCTGGCTCGGTCCTAAGACCGAGGTCACGGCGGACGCCGCGCGTAATCGCGCCGGCGCCGCCCAAGTCTCCTCCGTCGGAGAGCGGGGGCGTCGGGAGCAATCTCCCTCGCCCTCTCCGCTTCCTCCTTTCGCGAGAGGACGTCGGCGCAGAAGGCCTTAAAGGCCCGCCACGGAGCGTCGTCCGCGCTCCTTACTATCCCTGCCACAATGGCGGGCAGGGATAGATCCGCGCCGAATGCTCCGGCCAGGGCAGTCCTCTGACTTACCCAGGCCGGGCATGCCTCCAAGGTGTGTTGCGCCGTGTCTGAGGCGCATCCGCAGTGATGGCAGGAGTCTGTTTCCTCCCGCCGGATCCTGTGCAGGTATTTGCCGAAGCATCCGTGCCCCGACAAAATCTGCACCGCGTGATAGGACAAGGATCCCCACCGCTTCGTCCTCAGCCATTCGGGCAGGACGGGCGCGATCGCTTGAAGCGTATGCGCGCCTACCCGAGAGGTGGCAAGATGCTCTTGCCACCGCGCAACAACAGCCCTTTGGCCGTCCTCCCTCCAATCCTTGAGGAGCTCATGAGTGAGCTCCTCGCCTCGACTCCGGACTAGAGCCCGGCGCCAGTAAATGTCGGCCAAAGCAGCCGCCTCCAGGTGCCAGGGTGCGAGCCCGGCTATCGCGCACACCGCATCATAGGACACGGTGCGGTACGCCCTCGCCACCCTGAGCGCCATCACCCGCTGCGACTGCCTCAGCAGCGCAAGGTTCTGCGCCGACAAATCCTGGGCCCATATGGGGCAGCCATAGAGCGCCTTGGAGCGCACAACGCCGGCGTACAAGCGGCGACACCCCTCGCCCGCTCCGCCAAGATTCGGCATAATTCGGCACAAGGCCGATGCCGTGGCGGCGAGCTTCGGGGCAAGTGCCGCGAAGTGCGCCTTGAACGACCACCGAGAGTCGAGAACCAACCCCAAATACTTGAGAGTGGTCCCTATCCCGATGGCCTCACCGCCGACGATGATTTGCGCCCCGCTCGACGGCGCTCTTCTGGGACCGTGGAACGCGATTGCCTCTGACTTGTCCAGGGCGACTCGCAGGCCAATCCTCTGGATTCGCGCCACAACCTGGGCCACCCCAGCCGTGGCGCGAAGCTTGGCCTCGCGGAAATTGTCGCCCCTCGCGACCACCAGGGTGTCATCCGCGTAACAGATGACGCTGACACCCCCGATGAGAGAACAACGCAGGACCCCGTCGTAGCCGATGTTCCACAGCAGTGGACCCAACACCGATCCCTGCGGCACACCGCACCTGACGGGGTGGGAACCCCATCCGTGTCTTCTGGGGAACGTGATGCGTCTCGCCGTGAGATACGACGCAATCACGTCGCGAAGATAGACAGGCACGCCATGATAGCGAAGCCCATCCATAATCGCGTCCCAGGGCAGGGTGTTGAATGCGTTGGCAATGTCCAGCGACACCGCCAAAACAACCCCGCCCTCCGCCACAGTCCCGTCCGACACATCGCGCAATCTCGCGATCGCGTCGATTGTCGACCGCCCCTTCCGAAAGCCAAACTGGCAATCGGATAGGTCTGGCCCCTCCAGAGCCAAGTGCTGCTGGATGCGGGTCGCTATTATACGCTCGAAGAGCTTTCCCGCTTCGTCCAGCAGCACGATCGGCCGATACGCCGAAGGCGAGTCCGGCGGTTTGCCAGGCTTCTGGAGAAGAACCAGCCTTCCCTCCTTCCACAAGTCCGGAAAAACGCGGTTCCGCAGACACGCAGACAAAAGCTTGCGGAACCGCTCGTCGAGACCGAATTGCAAGGCAAGAGACAGAACTTTCCCGTGCACCCCATCAGGGCCAGGAGCCGTCCTCTTGCCTCGCGTCCTGTCCAAGGCCGAGCTGAGCTCGGCCGATGTCACGTCCGGTGCCCCCGCGTCCGGGGGTGTCGTTGACTGGGAGGGAAGCGAAGCATCCGCATGGGGAAACAAGGCCGACACGACTGAGTCCAGAAGCGCCGGCTCCATGCTGGATGTCAGGGGTGGGGCCCAGGGGCGCAGCTTGCTCATTACGAGCATGTACGGCCGCCCCCATGGGTCCAGCTCCAAGGTGCTCAGGAGCTCTTCCCACGCCCTTTCCTTCGCCTCCGCGATCCTCTTCCTCAGGGCCTTCTTTGCCTCCTGATAGAGGCAATAGAGGCGCCCTTCCTCTTCGGTGTTCCGCGAGGCACGCCGTCTCCTCCTGTACCTGGTGTACTGGCGTCGGGCCACCACACAAGCCGACCGAAGTGTGGCCAACTCCTCCGACCACCAGTACACCTGCCTACGCGGCGGAAGAGGTCGGGAACGAGCCATCGAAGCGTCACAGATACGCTCCAAGGCCGCCCCGAACCACTCCACCTCCTCCCTCACCGAAGAAGACTCCGGCTCTGGACACCAGGCGGCCACTATCGAGGCCACCTCCACCATCTCCCTGTCCAGAGACTTCAGGGCCCAACGAGGGCCCTTCTGCGCCGGAGGGACGCCAGGCCCGATCGCCGTGGACTGAGAGGAGACACTGAACCGTATGTAACGGTGATCAGACAGCGTCTCCTCCCCGTCCAACACCTCCCAGTCGACGATGCGGCGCGCAAGCCCGGGGCTAGCAAAGGTAAGGTCCACTATGGACCCCCCATTTATGCGGACGCACGTCTGCGTCGAGCCCCGGTTCACGAGCGCCAGGTTGTGCGCGGCCATCCACTGCACAAGGACGTCGCCACGAACATTCGAGGTTGGGGAACCCCACACTGCCGATTTGGCATTGAAGTCCCCCGCCACGACCACCTCATTCGGGCGACTCCACTGCACAAGGGCATCCACCTCCGCCAGGAACCCCTCGAACTCCGAGAGAGTCCTGCTAGGCGAGAAGTAGACCCCTACAACCGTGATGTGGCCGCACTTCACTGCGGCACAACCCTGGCCTCTCCGTGAAGAGACAATTGGGGGAGAGCCACCGGCTCCGGTGACGACAATGGCGACAGTTTCGCCAATGTCCCCGACCCAATTGTCCCCTTGCTGCACCGCGTATGGCTCCGCAATCACCGCGATGTTTATGGACCACTGCGCCAGGCCCTGGAATAAAAGATCCTGGGCCCTGGCGCAATGATTCAGGTTCGCCTGGAGGAACCGTAGGGCCATACTAGGCCCCTACGGTCTCGGCAACCTCCATCGCGGTCCCGCTCGGAGGGACGGCGGCCCGCTTCTCCGGGACTCTCCGCCGCATCTTCTTGGTGGGGGCCGAGCACTTGGCACCACCCACCCGATGGTTTGCCTCTTTGCCAGCCGCTGCGCAAACCGCGCAATGCGGGCTGGCCGAACATGAGGCCGCCAAGTGCCCGGGCTGACCGCACCTGTAGCAAAGACCGCTACGATCACTCGCGCAATCGCAACGGCTCGCCACATGGCCAGCCTCCAGACAACGGTAACAGCGAAGTGCCCTGGGTTTTCCCAGGGTCACTCTCGCCGCCACCCAACCCACCAAAAGTCTGCCCTCCAGCAGCTTCTTTGCGGAGCCAACGGGGACATGCACCCAAAGCGCGCCAAGCCCCGTGCGATCCCGCCGGATGTCGCCGACTCGCACCTGCCAGGGAGAACACTCTCCCTTCTTGGCGACAGCAGCGGCCACCTCCTCCTTTGTGACGGAGTCATCGAGGCCCGAAAGCCTGACATCGACCGCCTTCTGCGGCCGCGTCACCTTGACGACTCCGCCGTCAAATATCTCCCCGAGCTTGCTCGCGAGAGCATCCGCCTTCAGACCACTCCCAGCTCCGGGGAGTTGAAGAATGGTGGCACCAGTTGCCGCCTTCCGGACCTTGAGACCCTCCAGGCCTGTAATCTCCTTCAGGTCCAGCTTCTCCCTGGCCTTACGGAGGACGTCACTATAGGAGAGTCCCTCCTTTGACGCCTCCTCCGTGACTGTGAGGACGACAGCCGACGACCGAGGAACCCGAAGTTTCGGCTTCTTAGCCGGTTGAGGGCCGGATGCCTTGCCGGCCCCCCTCCTCGGACGCGACCGCCCCTCCGTGTCCTTCGCCCTAGGAGCTTGCCGAGCTCGTGGTCGCGTCGGCAACTCCCGGGGCGCCTCCTTGCGAGCCGGCCGACTCTTCCTGGCCACCGTGACCCAGCTTCCCTCCAGGGAGTCCGGATTCGGCAGCCTCGCCGGAGATCGCCCTCGGACGGGGGCAGCGGGGACGGAAGAGCGGGTCGTGGCAGAGGTGGATGGAACCACCCCGGCAGAACCCTTTGGCCCCTTCTTCTTCTTCGCCGCTGCAGCGGCCGCAGGAACGTTCCCGCTTCTTCCGTCGACCGCCAATGGCGGCCTGAGTCTGGGCGCGGGGTTCAACCGAGGCTCGAGTCCTTCGAACCTCGCGTTGATGCGCTCCCCTAACTTGCGCAGAAGCCCCGCCTCCAACTCCTCCAAATTGTTGGGGAGCCGGGAGGACTTCTGCAGGTCCTCGACCCTCTGCGTGAGCCTCTCCAGCTGCTCCCTGAGCTGCCGGTTCTCCTCACGCAGAGCCTTCGTCTCCTCACTCACCGTCCTTTGAATGAGGATAGACGAATTGTCCCTGATAGACGCCACTGCGTCCCCCAGAGCGCGAACAAAGGTCCCTTTGAGGTTTCGGGACCTCTTTGCCACGCTCTGTATTACGCCCAGACTTTCCTCGATGCCCCTAAGAGCGTCCGAGGCAGAACGAGGCGCGGAGACACCAGTGCCTATGATGTCTCCCTCGTCCCACGCGAGCGATGCCACAGAGGAGGGCCGCGTCGATCGGGCCTCCGAGACAGAGGCCGCTAACTCAGCCTCTGCCTGGAGCCGGATCTCCTCCTTTCTGGCCTCATTGAGGGCCTTTTTCGCAGCCGCCAACCCGACGTACTCGCCAGTGGTTGGCGGTCGCCCCCTCGGCCGCTTTCCTGCGGCCTTCTTCGCGACAGAGAGAGGGGTGTCTGTGGAAGACCCATCCCCCTGCGAATTTTCTCCCTCCTGTGGTCGTTTCCGCTTCTGGCGCCAGAAGCGGCTCGACTCACCTGATTCTCCGACCGGACCAACCGAGGCAGCGGACGACACGCTGACAAGGTCGGAATCCGTATCGGAAAGATTTAGCGAGGCCCTGGAAGACCCCGCACTACAACTGGCCCTTGACAAGGATGACGCCGACAATCTTGTCAGCGCCACTCTGAGCTCTCTCCTTTCTCCTTCTAACTCCTTCCCTCCTTCTTCCTCACTCCCACTATTCTTATTGTTTGTTTTTTGTTTTTGTTTCTCCTCCATTCTTCTTCTTTTCCATAAAACAAATGTTGCGCCTCGCTACAAGGCGCAACGGCATTTCTTTTGTTACAAGGGAAATGCAAAGTCCACCCGGGCAGAGCCCTGTACCCGGGTAACCCTAATACAACTGGCGGTCGGGCGGTCGCCAGAGGTTGGCCGCTAGCTGGCCCGGTTACTGCCGGACCACCCACTCACCCTGCGGGCAAGCGGGGGCGCGGTGTCGCGCAGAGGTCCGAAGACGCCCCAACACCACGCGAAATTCAGGGTTTTTTCTGAGGTTTTCCTTCCTCTTGGGCCGGCCGATTAAGGCAAGCCCCCTGGTCCCAGATGCGCCGCGAGACATGAACCACGACACGCACCCGGGGAAACAGGTTTGCCCGACGGAGGGCCGAAACCCCTAACCAGGCGCAGCACATCGCCACGCCCGGCCCGCCGCGCCGCGGTCCACCACTACCGCCGTCCGTGGTGTCCTCACCACCATACCACGCCATAAAGGCCGCCGGTCACAACTGACCTCTCCTCCCGTGCTCGTAGGCACGCTCGCAGCGCTCTGAGATGAGCGCTGCGTCTCCTTGATCGGTCTCCGCGTCGTCTTCGGAGACCGACCGATGGATCCAATTAGCTTCGTCGTGCAATAGTGGCCAGAATCGGCAGACCCACAGACAGTCTGTTGCCGATTAGGCACCTGACCACTATAATAAGCACCGACTACTGAGCCCCCCCGCCGCGACAAGGCCTGGATCATGGGGGGGACAAACATTTTTCCTGTCTGTAGTTTACGCGAGTAGCGCATTATTAAATAGAACACTTTAACAATTTAAAGCGCGAAATAGATTAGTTAAGCTTATTTGAAAATTATTTTAACTACGGCCCGACGTTACAGATGCTTTGCAGCAGCCGTGGTCAGCCGCAGTCGTCTTGTAGTTAGAATAATAAATTATTTTCAAATAAGATTAATTAATATACATATATCGCATTTTAAACCGTTAAAGTGTTTTATTTAAACATGTTTTCCTTTATAATTTAGCTCTTTCTTTTCTTATAGGTATATGAACTTATATATTATTATGGATTTAAATTTCATTTTACTATTTAGTATTGAGATGATATCTAAGCGATGTAATTTATAAATATGTTTTAGAGATGTAATATGAGCAATCTTGTTCATGATTGCCAGTGCATCTTCGATCTGACACAATTCAGATAAAAATTATTAAACAGGCTGAAGTGTAATTTAGCTTTATTAAATCTAGCAAAATACCCGACTTATGGATTACTAAAATACTTGCATACCATTCTTCAAAACAGTGTGCAGCAGATAGAACCCAATAGGAAGTGAGGATACTGGCACCACAAGTCTGACTCCAGCCCAGGGGTGATGTGAAAGCTTCGAGTTGTACTATGAAGGGGTACTCTTCAATACTCGTTTCGACGCCGCCAATAATACGATTAGACTGGACGGAGGAGAGCCCTGAAACGTTGATTCAGTATATCAGGAGATTTGTTGAAACAAAACAACATTTTAGAGTATTAAAAACAGACCACCGGTAAATACCTAAATGGGCACACAAAGTCTTCTTCAAAATAGAACGGAGTAACTATCCATGCGTAAGTATGTAGAAGAAATACCATTTTTTTTTGTTTATTTGAGCTTATCTTAACAAAATACACACACACATCCTGTTCTTTAGATCAGTTGTTATTAAAAAAAAACGTAATCCCTATTAGTAAATCCAACGTCCCTATTAGTAAATCCATATTATTACATTAAACTGAGTTATATAGCGTTCAACTCCACAGCAGAGATTTGGAGTTTGTTATGTTTGTATAAAATTGAAGAAATTATGGTCATTTTTATTATCTAACAGTCACATTTACAGAATACAAATAAAGCAACTTTCATAATGTTGTCAAGCATGAATAATAATATATATTCGACTTGTTATTGAATAACATAAATTATATTTCCTTTCGATTTTATAATATACAGATTACCTCCAATAAGTAACACAGCGAACAAATATGCAACCATTTTATCCAATAGAACTACACACGATACTTTACAATAAAAAACAATGAGTATGAGTAATTGATAAATGTTTTATTAATCCTATATATTATCTGAGTAATTTCGAATTGGCTTATCGTTCCAGCTCGTCACACTTTGTCTGAAGTTGATTTATGTGGAATTAAAAATGTCAATCCCACGTGGCATAGACCCGTTTCATGTATACACATATTATTTAGAGCCAATAATTGACCAGGTTTCTTCTTTGCCCCTGAAACCTCTCACACTTAACATCATTCCTTTTGCCAAGGGAGAATTATACGAATGCAAAAAATGTTTATTTGATTGTTCGTCGTGATTCTACAGTGTTCAAAATAACAACATAACTGCGAAGAACACCCAAGAAACACAGTCCGGCTTTTTTAACATGCGTTATAAACAAATATTTGTGGAAAATTAATTAACCTAAGGAGTATAAGCCAGGCGGTCTTGTCATTAAAAAAATCGTTCAGACAATAATACGCCTTTTGAGACAATCTAAATTTTATAACTTTTTAAAATTGTTTATCGTATTATTATATGCAACCATTATGATTGTCCTGAGATAAAATATTTTAGTATCCCAATGTATTAATCAAACACTATATGTATGTATAGACATTGTCATGGGTAGCAGCTTTAATTTATATAGAGGAGAAAGTTTGGAAAAACTAACGTTGACGTCCAAAATAACTACGCGGACTTCACAGGCACAGCGAGTCCAACTAACATTTGTCCGGTTTTATTTAAGTTAATAGAGTAAACATTCAAAAGGTTTGAGGAGACAAAATTAAATTTATTAAGTTTTTTTTTATCTATTTATATTTATATCATTGATACATTCACACAGCGATATTTCGATTTATCCTCTAGCGTTTTGAATAACCCAGTCAGTGTAGGAAGCGACTGAGGTACTAATACCGGGGTAGGTGTCGTTCGCACATCTGTGGCCCCAGGAGACCACTCCAACGATAATGTTTCCAGCATACAGCGGTCCACCAGAATCTCCTTGGCAAGCGTCACGACCACCGACATCCAAAAGACCAGCGCAGATCATGTTTCTAGTGACAATGTTGTTACCAGGCAATTGTTGGTAACGAGTCCTGCAAAGATCATTGTTGATTGTGTACATCTGGACGTGTTTGAGGATTCTTGATGCGCTTCCACCCCACTGAAAAGAAGAAATATAATTTATTCAATATGATAGTTAATAATCAACAGTCAACTCATCAGACAAGAAGGTTCAGGTAGGGAAAGGTAAAGGGTTCAAAGGTTCATGATTTTTGAGCGTTAAAATGCTTATCTATGATATTTTCGTAACTTCTTTTACCATGTCAAGTAAAAGAAAGTGTGGTTAATTAAGTAAAGTATTAGGTGCCGTTCTGTAGCTCTTTCTATGAGGTTCGCTTAGTTACAAGGACAGTTTATTCTCAACTTGTTTTTTTTTTAATTTATTTTTATTGCTTCATCTATTGTATACATATATTCGCCGGACATGAAAACCGTGCATCGGTTTTCATGTCCGGCGAATCACTATTTACTATATAACTTAATATTTAAAATAATGACTAAACTATAACCTAAATGATCTAATTAACTTACTGCTGTGTCACCCCAACCAGCGTGTACCACCGGTGTGTTGTCTGGAAGTTGGAAACCCATGGAAACGATGGTGCCCTGCTTGATGTAGTTAGAGTAGACCAGGGGAGTAGAGAGTTTCACCACGTTGATGTCGGCGTCATAACGTGAAGCGCGGCGGTAATCTGGGTGGTTCCTTTCGAAATCGACGTTGTGGATGGAGCCACCCGACATTCGGTAAGTTGTACCTGCTCTAATACGTCTGTTTCTTGGTGTGTAATCCCTGTTAAATTTCAAACAATTTTAGTAAAACAGGGAAGTAATATAGGTAATTTTTTAATTTTCATTTTTAAACTTACAAATAACATTAGTATAAAAATGAAAAGGAATGGAATGTATTTGAATAATTAAAATACAATGCGAGCAAATGTAAGGAATACAAATTTACATAAAAAAGAAAAAATATATAGTACGTAATAAATAAAAAAACAGATAATTAAAAAAAATGTAATGTGGTGGAGAAAACTTAGTAAAACTGTTTGAATTCAAACCACAGACAAAATACATATAGAAAAAAAAACGCATTATAATCCATTTTCTATTATTATATCATTCTGTAAAAATTCATACCGTCCTTCAAAACAATGAGCAGCTGACAAAACCCATGATGAAGTAAGGACGTTAGCACCACATGACTGGGACCAGCCGAACCACCGGTCGAAGAATTCCACTTGCACGATGTATGGGTATTGCTCAATTGTGGTTTCCTCGCCACCCACTATACGCTTCGATTGAACGAGAGCGACACCTGTGTCATTATTTACATTTTAATTTAAGCAATAGAAAGGGTTGTAGTATTACAATTAAAGTAGCAGTCGTTTGCGCAGAAAACTCTTAAGAATCCATGTTCCATCGTACATCATAGTAAGAATATTAGGAAAAGTGTTGAGGCGGGCAACTTGGGTGATTAATTTTTTAGGATCAAAATATTGAAACTTAAAAGTAATGCTCCATCACAAACAGGTGATCACTGTTACAAGAGTACTATCAGCGATACTAATGAGTTATTCAAATGACTTATACGTACCAGCTAAAAGCAAAACTGCCACCGACAGGTGTGACACCATCTTGTCTGATTTTCGAAAGATGCATGGTTTTTAAAGAAAATTACACGGTATTTAAACAGACACCTAATTGTTTTATTGCAGTTATAAATTATTTTTCTTGATTAAATCGACATATCGAACAGCTTGTCCTGTATTTGAATATACAGGCTGATATAAAAGGTATAAAAAAAATCTACTATCATCTTTAAACTAATTCTTGGCGAATGTTTTAAATAATAAGCGACACGTATTATCATAGGATATTGTAATATGAGAAAAAAATACGTACAATTTGGAATTTGTTTGTACCCTACAAACAAATTCCAAATTGTACGTATTTTTTTCTTACTTCTTGTGAAGTAATGAAACACAATGACAAAAGTTTATGTCTCCTTTAATTAAAATATAAAACAGATAGTGAACTGATTGAAATCATATCTTTAAGAATGATTATTTTCCATCGACTCCCACCCTTAACAGACGGGGTACTAATCTTTTTATACTATTTATCATTATCTTTACTACCTTTCATAAGTGAGACTTAATAAATGGCTACTCAGAATATTCAATATACCCAATAGTCAAAAATCATTTCTTCATGTAGGTTACTATCTAGACACGTATAACGTCACGCTAGTTAAAAACTAAAGATTTTACATATATATTTACTAACAGATTTCAGGTAAAGGTTGAAGAATTACCGAGAAGAACTGGCAAGAAACTCGCCGCTACTTTTATCGCCAAGTTTGACTTTACAGTCTTCACGTACTGTGAGTTTACATATGTTTTCTTGTTAGAGCAAGTTCCTTCAAACCCCAAGCATTTTTGTCGTTTAAATATTGATTAACGCCATATATTACCCATTCCAAGCTGTTTTAGTTATGTACGATTTAAACTTATTTACTGACAGTACTTCATTTCACTGGGGACTTTATTAAAATCCAGCAATTATCTTGAAAGCTTGACCAGCTTGTAATATAGGAAAGGAAAGCCTTGATTCAAATCAAAGCCTGTGTGTATGACTCTTAATTTAAAGGGATTAGGAATTTAAATATTTTATTGCCTTTAACTAAAATTAATCCAGATAAATAATGTCTATCAATCAAAGGCTGATATGACAGGCTCCGAATTTAAAATTATTCATAAAAATATTTATCAAATCAAAAAGTGGTTTGATGCAGCATAATATGTACTTTTTATATACTGTCTATAGTTTACGCAAGTAGTACACATTTAAATAAAACACTTTAACGGTTTTAAATGCGATATATTAGTTAAACTTATTTGAAAATGATTTTTAACTTCGGCCCGACGTTTCGGATGCTTTGCAGCAGCCGTGTGTCAAGCGTTTGAAAAAACGTGACCGTTGAGTTTTTTTTTCCAAGATTGGTACGCGAAAAAAATTAAATAAAAAAAACACCGAAATTTCAACAGGGAGGACGCCTTAAATTAAACCGTTAAAGTGTTTTATTTAAATATGTATTTAGCTTTGTGTTTAATTATTTATATTGTTAAGAATTTATACCTAGATGGATTATTGGTTAAACGTGTGATAATGATAACTAGAGACATTATAGAGACCTCCCCAATAGGTACGTAGTGTTTGAATATACTTTATTTATCTACGCTGAGTTCGATAAGCATGGTCTAACTTCACGTAATTCGTAAACGAAATAAAGATGTTAAAAAAACATAACAGTAAACTAAAAACTATTTATTACAAAGTAATATATATTCGAATTAGGTTATAAAGAAGTGATTTATATATTTTTTAATATCATTTTATGATTTTTCTTTCTTTCTTTTTGCTCTGTAAGTTTTAAAGGAAACTGAGACTTAATTTTTTGTACTAACAGGGCTAAAGAAAAAAAGGCATTTTACTTTTAAAATAAGACTACTAATATTGCTATTATTTATTGAATTATTATTTGCATGTACTAAAAAAACCACAATTTTCGGATTTTTTTTGTATAAACGTTTATAACATTAGCTGGCGTTAAACGACTTAAACAATTTTTCGCGTTGTTGTTAGACTTAATTAATTTTCATTTTTATTAATAAAAACTAGGTTACGCATAGAATGTAGTTTTAATCTTGTCTTCCTACGTATTGATGTTATTAGAATAATTAAAATATAATTGACACTTTTTATATTAATCTTATCAACTTCTACGTAAAGGAAGAGATTAAAAAAGCGTTAAGCACGACTTAAATTCTCAACTTATCTGTTAGTGGACTAATTTTGTTTTTTCAAATTACCGTATCAATATCACATATGTATTTTGAATAATAAGAAAAACAAAATGCATATGAATTAATTGTGTAAATAGTGTTATATAATTTTCAGGGAAATAGTTTTATATGATATATTAATAGTTATTTTATTTTGGAGGATTTAAAAGATTATAATTGACCGACGACAACATTATAAATAAGCGAAAAAATAATTAGTGTTAAATAAGCAATCATTAATTATATTGAATTGAATTGAATCAGTAGCTTTTAAAGTTTAGTTTTGATTGCAAAACGGGACACCGGCGAAAATGATTTATATAATAACTGCTCGGAAAAACTGATTAAACTTTTACAAATTAAAAAAAAATACTTATTTTACGTACTTTTAGTTACTTTTAGGTTTTTACGTTACTTTTAGGTTTCACGTACTTTGATTTCCCGTTAAATAGTTGTTTCAATAAAAATGATCTTTAGAACAAATCATGCAGATTTCATATTATTTACTAATACATAGTATTCAAATATAAAAATGGCTCCAGTATACGCAGATCGCTAGGAACAGTAAAAAAAGTATTGATTAAATTAAAAATTTATACAGCTTAACGCGCATTAGCAACAACCCAGTCAGTGTAGGAGGCGACAGATGTACTGATTCCGGGGAACGTTTCGTTCGCACATCTATGCCCCCAGGAGACCACACCGACGATGATGTTTCCAGCATACAGCGGTCCTCCAGAGTCTCCTTGGCACGCGTCCCGACCGCCGACGTCCAAGAGGCCGGCGCAGATCATATTACGAGTTATCGTGCTTCGAAGCAAGGCATAGCGCTTCCGACAGAGGTCGTGGTTAATTGTGAACATTTCAACGTGTCGCAGGACAGGGGAAAATACACCGCCCCACTGAAAAGCAAGCAGAAACTAATTATTATTTGAAGCATAAAATATGGTGGAATATTTACCGAACATGTATATATGTTTTCTTGTTTGTAAAAATGTAGTGATGGGTTTTTGCTATGATTTAGGTTACAGGTGTAAAATATAATTCAAACTATAATACATAAAGAAGATGATTGGTAAATTGAAAATATATTTAGTCGGTAAACCTTGTCAATAACAGACGAGAATTAAAAAAAAGTTTTAAGATCCAACACTTACAGATGTGTGACCCCAGCCAGCATGCATCACTGGTGTATTGTCCGGTAGCTGGAAACCTTGGGTGACAATGGTGCCTCTTTGAACTGACGGGGAGTAGATGAGAGGAGTAGTCAGTTTAACCACGGTGATATCAGCGTCCCAAACAGCAGCAACATGGTATCCCGGGTGGTTCCGTTCGAACTCTACATAATGGACGGAGCCACCAGTATGCCTGTGGGTGGCGCCTGCCCTTACACGTCTGTCAGAAGGTGTGTAGCCTCTGAAAATATTACGTGTTCAAATAATTTATGTCAAGAAAAGTCAACTTGCTTTTAAATCAATATTTATTGCCTTATAAACCGTGGAAAATAAGTGAACTTTTTGAAAAAAAATAATGATTGAATAAAAAATATACCCTCCACTGAAGCAATGCGCAGCTGACAGAAGCCACATTCTTTTGAGGATGTTCGCCCCACTGTTTTGCTCCCAATTTCCCCATCCGAGTTGAAACTCCACTTGCACTAAGTTTGGGTATTTTTCAATAGTAGTCTCATCGCCACCAACAATGCGGCCGCATTGGATATTGGCGATGCCTAAAATGAAACATTAACTTGTTTACTACTCAAAGAAATTATTTTTAATGAATTAAATGTTATGGTAACATAGTGTGGTTACCGCTCTACCACACAAGTAGAACTTTACAACAAAGAAAGGTACAAGTAATATATTTTTACTTCTTTTCTCCACTCAAATTCTAACGAATAGTTTGAATTTGATTTAGCACTTGAGCAATATATAATGTATGTGAATTTGTGGCTTTACTATTTAAGATAAATAGTAAAGCTAATGCTTAGAAATGACTGAAGGAATTTTTGAGTCGTTCAACTTCCGTTCACTCCAATAATCTTACATTCTTAGAATATTCGATAAGATCCTAAAGTAGGTATTATTGGAGAAATTATTTATTAACATTATTTAGAATCACGACGAACGCACAGACAAACATTATTTTTTTTTTGACGAATCTAAATATATTTTTATAATTTTACAGGGAATAAAGTATATTTTATTTCTATTTTTTTATTTTATTATTAATTTATCAATTATGATCTTTATTAAGATATTTTTAGAGTTCTAAGACGACTATTAATTCACTTTCTCTTCTCTTCGAGGTGATTGTTCATTAATTTGTTTTAAATTAAGTAGGCTTTATTAGTATACTGAGCTGTAAATACATTCAATTACTGCTTGAGTATTCACTCATGAATTCTCATAACAGTAGTTTTATTTATATGTAAATACCTATATTTAAATCTTTTGTACCAATATATAATTGTATATTCTTATCCTGTTAAGGTAAAGTTTTATAAATAAATAAATATTAAAATACCTGCGACAACCAGGATCGCTACCGGAAAGTAAGACACCATATCGGCTTGTTTCGATAAACAAATAATAGATGGCGGATTATTGAAGTTTTTAAATGAGGATAATTGTTTTTCTGCGTGTAGATAAATAGTTTATACAGAATGTTCTAAATATATTATAAGGAGGATGACAAAAATCAATCACAGCCAGATTGCAGTCATAATTAGACATTGCTATAAGGTAGCAAAACGCTTGGACTAGTCTGCTGCCCCCGTGCTTTTTTAATTTAAACTAGGTATCTGTCAAATTAAAAAAAACGTATTTAATATACGACTAAAATGAAAAACTTCGTTTTACAAAAACAAAACAATGACATTGAATAGTAATTACACACAAAATAGGTATTCCTTAGAATACAAGGGCTAGTACTTTTTTATGTAATGAAAACTACGATTAATACTACGAAGCTGGAAAAACATATATACTGTATTATTTCTAACTTGACATTTTTGGTAAACAAACACACAATTTACATAAAATTGTGATTCTGTCACAAGGTATACTAAAAAAAATTTTAGACACTGGATTATATATTTAACTGAGCCTAAAAGTAAATTTACTTAAATGGACAGATTAAAATTGTGTTACTTTTACATTTATATATAGGAATGTGATGTAAGCAAAGTCAACGACAGTAAAAGGTAAATGTCCCACTCATGTATGATCGCTAAGTGGGTTAAAAACATTAAGTTAAATAATAATGACATAAAAACTAAAAAAAAGGTCTTTTAATTTTGAGGTCGTTTGGTCCATACCTTTTTTTAAAAGGATGTAATCGATGCTTCTTATCGCTTTGTCATCTGTGGCAACAACTTCACTCTATAAAAGATCATCTCTATGGTTTGAAATCGGCCATATTTGTTGTGGTCTTTTCTCAAGTTAGAAAAATACCTGTGTTATCTTATTCTAGTTCTTTTTCGATCGGACATATGTGTTGTTTTGTGCTCGTGAAAGGAATATCCTTCCTTCCTTTAGTGCGAAACTTCGACAAACAGGTAACCGATTTTTTATTACTAGAAATTAAGATTGCTTATATCCTGTATATCTATATGTCAACTGCAATTTAATAAGTCCGAACACTTTTAAAAATGACTGGTCTGTATTTATTATTGAGACGGTCAATTGGACAATGTGTTTCAGACGGCATGATTAATCACTTTATTCCTGCCATTATAGATACCGCCTACCCAACATAGGGCAAAGTAATAAAATAGATATACTGTATTATTATATGTTATATTCGAACCTATATTAAAAACAACTTCGACACGGAAGGTATTGAACCAGCATCCACAGCGTTCCGTGCTGTTGCTCTAATCAATTTAGCTACCGTCACTTCATATATCGAATTGTTTCAACCGAAATTACATGCACCTCTTGCGATCAATGTAATTCCAATTTTAACACTTGTGTATTAAGTTTAATTTATATAATGCCATAATGTGACATGAGACAAATATTAATGTTTTGAAAAAATAAACTTTTGAATATATGTAGTAGTATATACAAAAAGGGAGTTAAATAATAATAAATTATTCACGTTGCCTGTAACGCATATATTCTAATCAAACATTGTACGGGACAATACAATATTATTTATAATTATCAATATAATACATCAATATGTTTATATTATTGACATTACATACAATTGTTATATTATATTATTATACACCCCATTATATTATTAAAAAAAATATAATGGGGTGTTTCCGTATTATATGATAAAACAATATCTTGAAGAAGTTCATTTTATTATCTGTTATATGTTTGAAAAATATATAGATAATACTAATAAACACATTATTGACACGATTTGTGTTTATAAAAGAAAAATAATTCCACTAAACACAAGTAATATTTTATAGTTTAAATTAAGGTTATATATAATAAATTGATTAAAGTAATTGTTAATTTTAAACAACAATTAAGAATTTTTTTTTATAAAGACGTGAAAATCAGTGAATGATCCCTATACATAAGTATTTCCAACGAACCATTTCAAACTGAAGTACAATTTCGATTTAAACTTCCATTCAATAGTTATTTCAATAAGAATGATCTTTGAAACAAGACATAATGATTTCAAATTATATCACTTAAAAATGTCTCTATTATGCGCAGATCCTTAGGAACAATAAAACAATGAATTAATTGAAATAAACATTTATACATCCAGCTTAACGCGCATTAGCAACAACCCAATCAGTGTAGGAGGCAACCGATGTACTGATTCCGGGAAACGTTTCGTTCGCACATCTATGCCCCCAGGAGACCACACCGACGATGATGTTTCCAGCATACAGTGGTCCTCCAGAGTCTCCTTGGCACGCGTCCCGACCGCCGACGTCCAAGAGGCCGGCGCAGATCATATTACGAGTTATCGTGCTTCGAAGCAAAGCATAGCGCTCCCGACAGAGGTCATGGTTAATTGTGAACATTTCAACGTGTCGCAGGACCGGGGAAAATACACCGCCCCACTGAAAAGCAAGCAGAAACTAATTATAATTGGAAGCATAAAATATGGTGGAATATTTACCGAACATGTATATATGTTTTCTTGTTTGTAAAAATGTAGTGATGGGTTTTTGCTATGATTTAGGTTACAGGTGTAAAATATAATTCAAACTATAATACATAAAGAAGATGATTGGTAAATTGAAAATATATTTAGTCGGTAAACCTTGTCAATAACAGACGAGAATTTAAAAAAAAGTTTTAAGCACTTACAGATGTGTGACCCCAGCCAGCGTGCATCACTGGTGTATTGTCCGGTAGCTGGAAACCTTGAGTGACAATGGTGCCTCTTTGAACTGACGGGGAGTAGATGAGAGGAGTAGTCAGTTTAACCACGGTGATATCAGCGTCCCAAACAGCAGCAACGTGGTATCCGGGGTGATTTCGTTCGAACTCTACATAATGGACGGAGCCACCAGTGTGTCTGTGGGTGGTGCTTGCCCTCACACGTCTGTCAGAAGGTCTGTAGATCCTGAAATTAATCAGTATTAATAAATCCTTATTTGTATCGAGAAATGTCAGCTTGCCTTTACATTAATGTATCGTACATGACGGAAAAGGATGGACGAACATGTAAATGTGGACCGAGGTAGCAGAGGCATACATACGCTAGTCCATCAATAGTAATAATGAAAATAGTTACGGGTTGTATAGTGCTTTTCTTCAAAATGAAATTAAAACAAAGTGGTACAACAGAAGTTAAAAACCAATGACGAAGTTGACGAACAATAGTTTTTTTTTTTATTTCTCCAAACAGCTTTTTTTGTCCAAGCCAGTTCGTAATTTAAATCAAACTTTTGATGAGGTACCTCTTTGGTCGCCAAGTTACGAAGAAGAACATTGTTCCATTTTTAAATTACACGACAAATGTGATTTTACGATAGATATGAATTTTTATTCAACTATTGCTTGACCAGTACAACAAGTTTGAATGAAGGTGTCAAAATAATGCTCAAATTTCCAAGCATCTTATAATGACTTTTTTCTACCTTCAAATCGGGGAAAACCTTTTCACTTTTCAAAGGGAAATTTTCCTTAACTTTAACAAAATATATACCCTCCATTAAAGCAATGTGCAGCTGACAAAAGACAGGTTCTTGTAAGGATATTTGCCCCGCAGTTTTGTTCCCAATGTCCCCATCCGAGATGAAATTCCACTTGCACTAAGTACGGGTATTTTTCAATAGTAGTTTCATCACCTCCAACAATCCGGCCGCATTGGACATTAGCGATGCCTAAAATGAAACCAATGCGTAGAAATAACTGAAGGAAATTTTAGAATTCATAATATAATCTAATTAAAGAAATATTTTATTGCTCTGTAGGTGAATTCATAAGAGTAGCTTTATTTTCTAACACAAAGGGTTTATCACGCTAAGGAGGAATAAGTTTGATAATACGATTTAAACTTATTCCTCTTTTTATTTTTTATTAACAAACTTTGTTATTTTTAGTGGGTAAAAAAAAAACAAAAAAACCAACCATTAATTTTGATCGACACCGGTCAATATCAACTACAAAATTATAAAATAATTATGTTACGGGTCAACTACCTTATCCCCCTCCTACATTATCACTTCGGGGTATGAAAAATCTACTAAATATACATAAACAATTTCATAAAAATCGGTTCAGGTGGGTAACTAACAATGTGACCGAGAATTTTATTTAAAAGATAAATAAATATAAAAATACCTGCGACAAACAGAATCGCTACCGGAAAGTACAACACCATATCGGCTTGTTTTAGATAAACAAATGGATTACTGACGTATTTAAAATACGGATAATTGTTTTTGTACGTATTGATAAATCTAAACTATACAGAATGTCCTAGATTTATAATATGGAGGATGATAAAAATCGATGACCTCAGCAAGATTGCAGCCCTGGTTGGTCGGTTGCTCATAGTAGGGAACGCTGGGTTCGAGTCCCGCTCGTTCCATAAATTTTAGAACGTATCCAATAACCAAGAAAAATAAAACAAGTTTGATAAAATAAATATTAATATAAATAAATAGTTCTAAAAGTAATGTCAGGTGATTTTTTAAGCAATGAACAACGCGTAATAACAAAAACCTGAAAAAAGAAAAATAACAAAAAATATTGCGATTATTGGATAGATTTTTTATTTTAAGTTTCTAGACAAAGTACACAGCTGTGTTTCTTGATGAATGAATTAACAGAATAAATATGCAAAAGGGACACCCATTGAAATTATGTATGCGTAAATGCGTTTTGTAGTTCGTAAAGGTTACTACAACAAATTTGTGTACCTACTATTGTCCTAGTACTACGGAACTCTTCAGGCGCAAGTTCGACTCGCCCTTGACTGGGTTTTATCACAAAAATTCTCCGTCGTTTACGGCCTGTTTATAAAAGCTTCTTCTTCTCCTTTTTTTTTCCCTCCCAACATAAAATATTAATTTATTATTTGTGTAACATTCTTTGTACTTTTTTTAATATTGTGTTGGCGACCTCTTCCCTTTCCCCCCCCCCCCCCCCCGCCCCCCCCCCAAACCCCCATTTTTTTATACAAACGTACCGTTTCTTTAAAATAAATATGCAGTAACTTTCCTTCTAAACTATTCAATTTTAATTTATACATAGAACTTCGTCATCTGAATACAATTATTTACGTAATCAACCATCAAACAAGAATTTTTTTGATGGATGTAAAATGTCAAGCATGGCGTCTACCCCTAATTTTTTTATATTACGAAAAACAGCCGCTTAGTTTCTGTAAATCTTGAAGCAAGGGGAGTATTTGTCAACACTCTGATAACTATTTAAGACGGATTATAATTGAAGTATAACGATGAAATGACATTATGCCTACTTATTTGGTATTTTAAGCTGAAGAGTTTGTTTGTATGTTTGAACGCGCTAATCGCAGGAACCTGGGGGTTCGAATTGAAAAATAAATTTTTGTGTTGGTTAGATTATCTATCGAGGAAGGTTATGGATAAATTGCACGGTAACTAATATGTCTATATTTTTAATTATAACTAATCTACGTGGATGTAGAGTCGCTGACACAGCAAGGTATAATATGAGGCATCTCTCAAAAGAAAATAAAAATAATGGTATTGTCTGTATTCGCAATACAAGACCTCTTAACCATTAGTTAAACGATTCACCTAATACGAGATGTCAAATACGTAAAACATTTTAATTAAAGTATAACTACAAACATACCAGTTGTAAGTGAAGCAATATGTGCCTACGTTTAACAGGGAACTAACATTTATAAAAACCTGTTATAAAGTATTATAGATATACTGTATTTTTTTAAATAAATTACCTAAAATAAAATTGGTCGATAAAGATTCGTAGTAATTATAAAATAAAATAAAATTCCAACATAGCTATGTATATATTGAAATAAATAAATGGGTTTGCGATACTATGAAATATTATATGTATTTACATTCCCTTATAATATTTTACAATATGAATTGAATTCTTCAAACATTTTATATACATAAATGTAAAAACGTGAAAGTATTGTAATGGAAACAGTTGGGTTTAGCGAGCGTTTTCACGAACCCAATTTGTGTAGGATGCGACACGTGTACTAACTCCAGGGTACGTTTCGTTAGCGCATCCGTGTCCCCAAGCCACGACACCTACAATCACGCGGTTCTCTGAACCGCCGGCATATAATGGTCCACCGGAATCACCCTGGCAAGCATCACGGCCACCGACATCCAAGAGCCCGGCGCAGATCATGTTGTCAGTGATAGTTTCCCTCAAGCGTAGGTAACGTTGTCTACACAGCTCAGTGTTGATAGAGTACATTTCGACGTGTTGGAGAATTCTAGACGTACTGCCCCCTTGCTGAAACCAAAGCAATTTATTGAAAAGGGGGGAACTAGAATGTGAGATAGTGAAAAACTCTACAAATTATTACCCTTTAAACAAGAGTTACAACTAAATACTGTCTATAGTTTACGTGAGTAGTACACATTTAAATAAAACACTTTAACTTTTAGACGTTTCGGATGCTTTGCAGCAGTCTCCCTGTGACCACGGCTGCTGCAAAGCATCCGAAACGTCGGGCCGAAGTTAAAAGTCGTTTTCAAATAAGTTTAGCTAATATATCGCGTTTTAAACCGTTAAAGTGTTTTATTTAAAAGATTTACAACAGTCATAAAAGCTTGATTTTAAGAGGTGGATTTTTTCCAAGACAAGCTGTTTGTGAACATATAGACGTTTTGATTCACAATAGTAAAACTAAATAAAAATATTTTAGGGTTTGGGTGAAGCTTATCTTAGTATTGTTAATGAAAATAAAACAAATAAGAACAATTTCTCCACAAGTAAACCAGTAAAAAGCTCCTAATATAGTGTATTTCAAGTTGCTAAATAATATTATTTAAAAAAAAATTGAAAAAATTTTTCGACTCGGGCAGCACTTGAACCGGCATCGTCAGCGTTCCGTGCTTTGCTCTACCATCTGGACTCGGTAGCTCAATTGGTAGAGCAACAGCACGGAACGCTGACGATGCCGGTTCCAGCCCTGCCCGAGTCGAAATTTTTTTCAATTTATTTTCGATTTTTAAATAAATGAGTGCCTTCATGTAACAACATAATAAAAAAAAATAAAGTTTTCAAATAATATTATTAATTATTTTTCTTCACAACTTGGAATTGTTTACTTCCGTCAGTTAGACTGAAACTTAATAATTATATTATAAATTTTTATACTAATTGCAGACTTTGTTTTGGCTTGATTGTCTTGATAATATAACTAGATATTGTATTATTGAGAACTTACAGTTGTGTGTCCCCAACCAGCGTGGACTACAGGAACATTGTCGGGAAGAATGTAGTCTTGTGGGACAATTGTCGCTTTCTGGATTACTGGCGTGTAGACCAATGGAGTCAATAGCCTCACCACGTTGATGTCGCCATCGTATCGAGTTGCAACCGTATATTCAGGGTGATTGATGGCATAGTCTACATAATGGACAGATCCCCCGGTATTCTTAATAGTGGTACCCGCTCTGATACGTCTGAAATCAGGTCTGTAATTCCTGAAAAGAAAGAAAAAATTAATGGTATTTCTGCTTTAAGTTCGTAAGAAATTTTTGAGGACGATTCTTAAGTTGTCAAACTACATAAAACACTTTACGCGTTTTCTTACAATTTATTACTTAATGAAAGGCATTGACAGAAGGGACGAAATTGCTATTTTAAGTCAAGTCTATAAGGGTATTTGATAATCATTCTAATGTTCGCCAAGCAATTTTGTTTAAATAAAATTACCATCCAGCGAAACAGTGTGCAGCGGACATAAGCCATCTAGTGGTCAGGATGTTGGCTCCGCACCCAAGCCTCCATAGGTTCTCCCAGTCCCTATAGGTTTCCACTTGCACTATGTAGGGGTATTCTTCAATAGTGGTATCTTCGCCTCCAATAATTCGTTTGGCTCCTACTAAAGCTGTTCCTGAAGAAGTAAATACAGTTTTAAATCTTTAATTTACATCACGTTTAACAATAAATGTTTACATACTAATATGACATATTTGTAAGATGTGGGTTTGTACCTGAATAAAAAAAAATTATTAAAAATAATTCATTATTCATTTAACTTCGTTCCAATATTCTGGAAACCTATTTTTAATATAATTTATTGTTATTTAAAGAGAAAATGATCATTAGATATTATTATAATTTTAAATGCTGTTGCGTTAAAGTCAGGAAAATAATTTAAAGTTTTTACCTGCAAAGAGCAGGACTGCTAGAGTCAAGTGAGACACCATCTTGATGAAACCGATTTCAGAGAAGTCGAATTCTGTTGTGATATAGGTATCGTATTTATAGATTGATAATGAAGCGTAAATAGGGGTTATAAATTAAATTTGTCTTATCAGTGATCAAATGATTTAACTTGATTGATCATTGAATTACTATTATTTTTCAATACGATATTTTAATCAAAATCTAAAATTAATATCCAAATTTTGGTTGCGCGAAAGAAGCATAATTTTCTTAAAATTAGAAATCGATTATGACATATGGGGCACAGTAGCTCAAAGCTAAGTAACAGCACGGAACGCTGTTAGTTTCTTGTCACGTATGTTTTCAATCTAATTATAGTTTAAATAAGAAAAAGATTATATACCTTTAATAATACTATATAAACAAAAAAGATTAGAGAAAACGCTCTTTTTTACTATTTAAAGAAATCGAGTATTGAGTATTATACAGACGCAGCCCACAGGACCAGCTATAAAGTGGCGGGGGACGTGTGAGGTTCAGTCTGCTAGGATGTGATCACAAGCTAAAAATTATTACGTCAAGAAAGCATATATTCCAAACGCTTGTATTAGTATTTGAAATCTCTAGGTTTCTTTAAATAAATATAGCGTATCGATCTACCACTTCTATTGAAGAGGCAATACAATAACCTTCTATACTACTTATAACGGCTTATGTTATTATAACTTAAGCTGAAAACTGACATTTATTTCCAAAGAAATTAAATCCTTTAAAGGCTTGCGTGTTACGGCTCAAGTTTTTAAATTATCCTTAATTCTTCCTTCGAAAATTCTATAGTAAAACCTTTTTGCTTGCTCTGTCAGAACCGGAAAAATCATTTTCCTCGAGGTTCACTAAATATCTTATTACACTCGTGAATACCTTACTTTGCCTAATTCGTGAAACTGAGCAACTAAAAGAGTGGCGGCAAGTTGCTTTTTCGATCGATTCGAGAACTGATAGGAAATGTTAATTTACTTTTTTTTATTTATACCACGTTCATATTTAAATGAATAATTTTTGACTTTTAAAATTTACCACTACCCAAGATAATACAAAGATGTATTTTTGGTACACGAAATGCCGACTTTACCCAATTCTCTTTATCACAATGATTTAATTGTAACCTCAATAAACTAAGTAATCCCTATTTTTTATTATTTTTTTTACAGACATATTAAATTATTCAGTCATCGTTTCTATAGATTAAAGGGGCTTAGTGAAATCTTTTAAATGAGGTAAGCTGTGTAGACAAGGTTTTTCCTATAGATAAAGTAATTACGGCTAAAATAGCTAAGGTGTCTAATACTGCCATTTATTTTGGTGGGAAGTGTAAGTAAATATTATATAGGAAATTAAATCAAGGTAGACATTTTACGTGTTCGTGTTTGATTGTCAACCTTCAAGATTTCACATTTACATAAAACAATAATATGTGTTAAATAAAATGCTTTTAATCAAAAATTAAAAAAAATACTTTTTAATTTTTCTTAATCTGAAAAAAAATAAAAAATCTTGTGTAAAACTGTCAACGTACATTATTGTATTTGGAATTAATTTGAATAAAAAATAATATTTTTTTTTATTTAGTATCGCACTATACTTTGGCAATATTTCTTATTTAGCATATTACTGTTTTTCGGGCTGTTACAAGAATTATGATTCTTCGAGCAATCGCCTGACGTCATCACGCCTGACACCTCCTGACGATGCCGTCCATCACCCCTTCTCGCTTACATCGACCAAACAACCCGAAAATCAATGATATGCTAAACGCTGACCATAGAAACCTTACACAATTTAAATTTTTATTTATTTATCAAGATCGCCGAGAAATTCTGGTAGTTGAAATATGTAATACTAATAGCTAACGATAATGTTGTATGGGTATAATAAAAAATTAAAAACCCTATGGTCTTTTCTGGTCTAGCGTCCTAAAAATATTTAAATTTTATCAATAATTTTCATTTAATCATACGAATAGTGATAAGATGGGGTTTTCCAGAAGATAAAACTTTCATACCTAAGTTGGATGGCGAAATACTTACATAGTATTTTCTTAGTTTAATAAAATAGTTGTTAACTTTGCTTTGCCCTCTGCGAATATAACAACTTCGGCCACGTGGTTAAGTTATTTGGGCACCATATTTTCTTATGTTTTTGGAGAAGCTATATTTTATAAAGCGGTTACCTACGCCGTCCGCGTCCCGTCGTTCGTTTAAAAATACATATACAGTCGGAAACACTTATTTCGATCATTTCAAAAAGAATGTTTCTTTCATACTTTACTTTTGGTTGCTTGAACCATTTTCACAGTGCACGCAACGGAAGCCTATTAGTCGCAAACTAATGTTTTTATTAAGCCTTAACATTGCTTGATTTAGTGTTGCCCAAATTCAGTCTTGGTCTTGCAGTCTTGGTCTTGTTCTTGCGTTTTTGCAAGACCAAGACCAAGAACAAGACCGCGTATTTTTAGCAAGACCAAGACCAAGACTGACCGTGCAAGACTTGAGCAAGAACAAGACATAGCCTGCAAGACTCTTGCGTCTTGCAGCTAGGACTTAGCGCTATTTCACTGAGTAGTTAGGTGTAACAGTTCGGTGTATAGGTAGTTACGCTTAGGAATTCTATGAGACGCAAAAAACTGTATCAAAGAATATGAAAAACTGGACCTATGCGCATTACGACTAATAGCATAAACATAGCGAATAAAAAAAATATTAAAATCAAACTGAGTGCATGCATAGTTATGTTTTAACCATCAGAACTTTGATAATGCGGCATCAAAGGTTTTGTACTTACTTCTCAAAGAAATTTGCCGCTTTTCGGAAGTACATGGTTATGATACACGCGCCGGCGGCTTCTTTTGAAATCTAAAACAATCGTTGCCGCCACGCCGAAATCATAACATTTGACACTATTTGATTGCCGCCATAGGGCGTAGGTATACTCATGCAAAATACTTTCGAATTTTTTTACACGCTTTATATTATTGTTTGATTTGCGGCGGCATCCTTATCATAGGGCCGGCACGTGGCGAGGCGGCGCGGTAGAAAGCAAGGAAACGTACTATAAACAAAGGAATTATTTTAATTCCAGTCATTTCCAATTGAGCTGTGCTTCGAGTCTAACTTAATAATTGTTTTTACTAATTCTCGTTGTTTTCTAAAAATTGATCACGTGTACAATTTCATATGAGCGACGAAGATTCAAATTATTCTAGTCCGAGTAACGAGAGTTTGAGTTTTAGCAAATGTAAGCTTATAAATCATAAATGTTTATTAAGAAACAGTTACTTCCATTAAGAACGACATATAGGTCAGTTGATTTTTCGAATTTCTTATCAAATCTTCAGTTATTTATTAATCTGCTTGATCTTTACTATGGCTATATTCATTCAAGCTCACAATGTTTCAATTCTAATACGTTTTTCTAGGATTTAAAGTAAACTTTAATAAATAGTAATAGACTAATAGGTAATTGCAAGACTTGCAAGACTTGCAAGACTCTTGCTCACCAGACCAAGACCAAGACCAGGTGTATTGGCGCAAGACCAAGACCAAGACTGGCTAAGTCTCGTCTTGTTCTTGCGTTTGGGCAACACTAGCTTGATTAATGGTGCAACCAACACAAAAATAATTCAATTCGAACCCGTCGTTCTTAAGATTAGCGCAAACAAACAAACTCTTCAGCTTTATAGTATAGATGTTTAAAAAACAATGAATTTAATTTCTAAACTTGTACATAAGTACATTTTATTTTTTTATTTAAAACATGTGAAAATATAATGTTTCTTTCATTTAATTCAATAAAAAAATAGTGCAATATCAAAACGTAGCTTTTATTCTCTCCAATAGCAATTTTTTTAAAGAAACTCCGATTATCCAAATATTTGACTATCCGAATGGTCCGATATACCGGTCCCCATTAATTCGGATAATTGGAGTTCTACTGTATTGATGGATCTATGCAGACCAGGGAGCTCAGAAGCTAGTTTACGCGAGTAGTACACATTTAAATAAAACACTTTAACGGTTTAAAACGATATTTTAGCTAAACTTATTTGAAAATGATTTTAACTACGGCCTGACGTATCGGGTGCTTTGCAGCAGCCGTGGTCTCGGGAAGACCGTTTCAAACCTTTAAAGTATTTTCTTTAAATGGTCACTTCATTTTCGTGTCACAGTCTCGACCACCATTTTCGTGGGCAGGCGACTAATTCGCGACAAAGGATTCCCGCCTATTTTAAATTTAACTGTTACATACATGTTTATAGAAATAAATAGACACGAATTCTGTCATTTCTATCTTTGTGAATTGACTCATTTAATCATTTCGGCAGTTAAAACAGTAATATCACAGATAAGATATACATAAGCCCTTGCACAAGTAATCATGAATCGGTAGTAAATTAATTAAGTAGGTTTTATACCTAATTAATTAGAATAATATGGCGGGCTTGTTGTTGTAATGTATGGCTGATAATCAACGAATAGTGGGTTCGATTCCTACCGGCTCCAACATTTTTCAAATCAATTTATAATTCTTTAAGTGGGTGGTAAATAATAAATGGGTGGTAGTAATATCTAAATTCCGTCCGAATCACGAAACACCTTCCACAGTTGAAAAAGCATTCGAGTTTAATTTAAAAACGTTTTGGTTGCTGTGTGAATATTTCACGGATATCCAAAGGCAAAATGGGTCGACAGCGCATTTTGTTTAGTTGTTATACGACTAGGGTATTTCACCTACCATCAAGTTAAGCCTGTTAACTATTACGTTAACAGTTTCGAACCCAGGACCCCTCCACTTGGTTAAATCGATTTGGAGACGGTAGAAAGGTCATGAGACCATAGCTTTTAAAAGCTAACTCGTTAATTAAATACTGTCTATAGTTTACGCGAGTAGTACACATTTAAATAAAACACTTTAACCATTTAAAACGCGATATATTAGTTAAACTTATTTGAAAATGATTTTTAACTTCGGCCCGACGTTTCGGATGCTTTGCAGCAGCCGTCTCCCCGTGACCACGGCAATATATCGCGTTTTAAACCGTTAAAGTGTTTTATTTAAAAGCTAACTCGTTAAATATCTTATATAAGGGGCGGGGCGCATATGTATTTAGTTTATATTATCGTAAACATTGGTTACTGGACTTACGAAAGATAACACAAATGGATCTGATGCCACATTCCTTAGCCAATTCAATACGAAATGTAGTTTATGATAACGTTTTCTTCGATATGCTCTTTAGAGATCGTTATTGGTGAAGACTTCTGTGTATGGTGGAGATAAAATTAATGAAAATAAAAATCAATTATTAATTGAAAAAATTCAATTCAGGCAATCGTTGGTTATAGTGAAAGATAGCTAAAAAAAACAATAATCAGCTTATCATATCATATGACATGTTTGCTTAGAGCAACAGCACGGAACGCTGACCATACCGGTTCAATCCTGCCTGAATTGAACATTTTTTCAAATTATTTTCGATTTTTAAGCTGATTCTTGTTTTTTTTAAGCAGACAGTGACATCTTTTCACCTAAACTAAAACCAACGATTTCCACTATCAAGATAGTTATAAAAAAAAATAGCGAAAAACAAAAAAAGACAATTACATAAGAACTAAATGTAAAAAAGGATTTATTGAATTTAAAATTCACATTAGCCCATTAAACAGAGAAAACTATTTAAAGTTCTCTTTTGCAAGTTGCAATTGATATACTCTATTTTTGCATAAAGCAATTATAGTCTCAAAAGTAGCCGTGAATTCTACTTTTGTATTTTAAAGTTTTAAAAATCTTGCTCTTTACAAATTTGGGTCTGTGTGATTAAGAAAACTGTTCGTATCAAAAAGTCGTCAGTCAGCCGTTTTTATGACAGAGTAACAAACATCCATCCATTCGAAAGCATCTTTTGTTTTAGATTCGATAATTACAAACATATGTAATTAGACTAATAGGTGACGACGTTCTTCAGACTGTTGTTCATACAAAAATGAATGTTATCTTAAACACACAGAGTGGAGATTTTTCATCACACGTGTGGCTTATTTGTTTAGTCACATGTATTTGACGATGAATTAAAACACAGTCTATTCTACGAAAATGAATCTGCAAATATAAGAATATTAAAAAAAAGATTTGGAATAGTCTAATTACCCTATCATATATTTTTTGTGAAACACAGATCATTGGCCTAAAACATTTTAAAATTAATTGTATTTACTTGTATATACTATACTTAAGTATACGTATAAGTATATAGAGTATCATTCTTAACTGTACAGTTAAATAATAATTAAACTTAGGACTCATAAAGCTACTTTACTTACTTTCTATTAGTAACAATATAAAAATCAGAGTTCTTGTAACTACAATTATAAAACCTTTTGTAGCATATTTAAAGTAAAATGAAAAGGGTGTTTGTAAAATAAAGTCCGAGAATATAAAAATAATTTTAATACCTCATCTTATTTATCAGACACAAAAATCATACCCTGCTAGAACATTAAATATACACGCGTACAGAAAATTCTTCTTATCAAGTGTCGAATTAATCCTGCCACACATTACCAAATATATATTATGTTACTTACTAGAATTAGTTGGCTGAGATAAAAGTAGATAACAATTTTGGTATTTTTCTTATATCATTATTTCATTTGTTAAAACTCAATAAAAATATAATCCGTGATCTACTTAATTACAGAAGTAACATCAGAAGCATTTGAGCTCTGAAAAAAGACGGGTGATTCGGGATGAAACTGCGGCGAATGAAAGTGAGATCTATCCGTCATTTTGAAGAGATTTTGCAGCAAGTGCTGCTGTTCCATCAGCAATGTATTTAAGTGTCTCATTTCTTGATCGATTTTCTTCAAGTTGAAGGTTGTCTGATCTATCTTCTCTTGCATTCCTCTTATCTCTATATTAAACTGATGGTCTGTCTGTCCGTCTTGTTTGAATTTCGAGTGGTATTTGTTTTTATATAACACCTCTTTAATGGAAGTCCCGGACTTTAGCTTATTTAACTGCGCTAATTCGTACGCCGCCATCATTATGTCTGTCGGCAATCTTTTCTCTCGTGGGTTCAAAGGTTTCACACTCAGGATAACTTTACCAGCCTCTGGAGATACCAAAGCGGTTCTATATATATACTTGTGAAGGCACGTCGGCAGTAATGCACTAAACATACCCATCTCTACAAATAAGATCAACTTAGTTTGTCGCACAAGCCTTGAAAGACCCGCTGTTTTTCTTAAACCCTGGATATCGTGGACTGCAATACCAACTAATAAATTCATAAGGATTATCGTTACAAACATTAGAAATAGGATGAAAATAATTTGTGAAGACAATTCAAATATAAGCGGTGGGTCGTCACGAAGGGGATCATTGATTAAAATATTTAGATTTAGTTCTCCTACCATCATAGATAACGTACTGATTAATCCCATTAGGGGGTTTGAAAACATTTCTTCGTTCGGAAAAACAACAAGGAAACAAATAGCAAATCCAAACAAGAGACAAATATAGGCCAATAACAACTTCAAAAACTCTGTCAAAACTTTTTCATACATAGCGACGTAATCCCCGAACATTGGCAGCTGACCCATCATTAACATTAAGTTTGTCCAAGCTCCTAAAACAGCATACCCTTCTACATGGTTTTGCCAGCCATAATCGTGTTCTATATCATATAGCAAGAACACAGAAAGTAAAACAAACCACTCTAATAAATTCTCAAAAGTAGTGAAATATTGATAAATACTTGAATAGCCTGTGATACCTGTTAATTTGCGTACGATCTCAAAAATTGTAATCGCAAGTAAGACCCACTTCTCAAACTCGATGGGGTTGTCTTCTAAAATATTTCCGAGTAGTGATTGTTTCTGACACAGCTCGTTTGGAACATCGTATTTCTTAGAATATTTACCATCACACGTCTTCACAACGGCTGTCAACACGTAAATAGACAAGAACACCACAAATAGAAAACTAAATGTTAACCTAGCTAAATAGAATTTTCTTATCTTCCGCCATTTCATGAATAGAAACGCTAAACACAGTGGGTGTTGTAATATGTCTTTTTGACCTTCATCAATCAAACTATTCAAATAGGTGATCTCACGCGGATAGGAATATTTTAATAGCTTCCCGAAGTCAAATTCTATTTGAACTTCTTCATTGGCCTCTGTAGATCGACTTAGGGTGATACCACTGTCTAAATTATGTCTTAGAATCGCTAGTGATTTAGGCGTTTTTCGAACTATGACACTTAACGCTGTGTGCCCTTTTCTTCGACTTGGATGTAACATCTGCGCCTAAAAATATGAGTGTTTCGACGCAACTAGTTAGGCCATCTATCGCAGCTAAGTGGATGGGTGAATATCCGTATTCATCTTTTTTATTAACTTGCGCGCCCCAACTAACTAGCATGTCTATTATATCGCAAGAACGTTCCGATTTCGATATAGCCGCATGCAATGGTGTCCGTTTGTCATAATCTTCAGCATTTGGATCTGCATTCCCATCTCGTAACAGCACTTCAACACACTCGACCGAAGAACACCTAGCTGCTAAATGCAAGGCAGTGAATCCCCTATAATTTTTTGCGTTAGCTTTAGCTCCTTCAGAGAGCAGTAGCTCTACACACTCTGTGTAACCTCTTGAGGCTGCTAAATGCAGAGCAGTGCACTCTTTATCCCTCTGTTTAGTAACACCATTAACACTAAGTTTCGTGGCTTTTAATAAGTAAGCGAGACATCTCTGTGCGCCAAGCTCGGCCGCTAAGTGTAAAGCATTAAGTCCTCCCGAAGTAATATAAGCTGGATCTACTCCCTTCTCTATGAAATACTCCATACACTCCAAGGCATCATTTCTAACTGCACAGTGAACGAGATTATCTTCACAACCCGCACGCTGGACAACAGCGTGTAAAGAAGCTCCAGTAGCGATTAAGTACTCTGCCACTTCTAACGAATTTCCAAACGCTGCGCAGTGTAAGGGAGCGAAATATTTTGGAGCATAATCTACATCCGTACCTATAGATATTAAATAGGCCACAGCCCTTCCAGCGCCACTAAAACCTGCTATATGAAGCGCTGTCAAACCAATTGGGTCCGAGTAGTGGATATCAGCACCTGCCTCATAAATAGCAGGCAAAAGTTCTTCACGGGCCAAGAATGCTGCCCATAGCAGAGTTAAATTAACAACAACTTCTGGCGCCGACGATATATGCTCCTCAATATTATCAGCCGTGATTATACCGCATTCGAGGTCGTCGAAAAATCTCCCTGCGCCTAATGTGAGGGCTTTTTCACATAGCGCTCGACGAACCATGTCTTCTGTCAACCTGGCTTCTGGATCAGGCGCCAATACATCGAAACTGTGGTACATGTTTGGGGCATCTTCAGCTGGTGGTGAAGGTCCAACAAATAGGTATTCTTTGGCTTTGCCAGGTTCGTTACCGGCTTCCAAATGGTCGATGTTTCGGACATGTCGGTAGGAGCTCCTTAATGGAAACTCTTCGGGATCTCTGGTTCGCGAACTGAAGCTGCTAGTGAGACGCGATCGAGGCGTCTGCGACGGCGTTTGAAGGGGCGACGGCCACCCCATCTCGCGGTAACCGAAGTTGTCCATAGTTGCGTCGCTACTGAATTCAGAATCCCGCTTATCTTATCTCCAGAGACAGGCGAGATCTTCATTTTGACGTGATTTATTACGCTATTTTTACTGCGCACAATTAAGAAAATAAACAAATTCGGCACTGATTGTGGGTGTTTTGTTATTATCACGTTATTGTGGAAAGTATTACACATTGTATAGATGCATGACGACACTTCAGTACCGAAAGTAACTTACGGATTTTCATTTTTCACTTCATAAAATATAATCATTTCTTTGTTTTTCTTTAAGTAGAAAGAAGTGGCATCTAAGGATATGAACACAAAGATGTGATAACTAAACTACATTTTACAAATTTCTACCTATTACTTGACAGTACATCAACCTAGTAAACAAACACAAATATTTGCAGCACGATCCCTTTGTCAGTCTGTCAGTTTGTTTGTTGTGTCGTCTGTGTATTTACACGTTCATTCAACATGACCGTGCGGTAAATATCTGCAATTGATTTCGTTGAAGATAAACCTTATTTATAATACAATACCAAAACATGCAGTTAACTAGACAAAGTTTTCTTTGTTGCATTAATCAGCCAATATAAAAGGAATTTTACTTTTTTGAACGTTTAAGGCTCTAACTTTTAGATAGTTCGTTACTCTTAGATTCTGCTGCATTCTAAAGATATTTGCTTTGTTTTGACAGTACATGAGAGATACTGCCTTATGTCTTAGAATTTGCCTTTGAGACTAATAGTCAAACTACATTTGGACAACAGTATTAATGGACAGTTATGACACTGCTGTAATGGTAATATGAAATTGTCATTTTTGTCATTCATGCTGTAATAATTAGATTAAAAGTTTAAACGCATAGCATTATTATGAGAAATGTAAATAATAAATGGCTAAGACAGTTGGTCCTTTGCCAATTTATCATCAAACGATTTGGAATGCTTTCATATGCAATGTTGCAGAAATATATTAAACGCATAATTAAACCGCTTACGAGCTGCGTATAAATTTGACAGGACAAATATTCGTTAAAATATTTGCGGAAGTATGAAAATATAATTTCGTATAATTAATTTGTTTGCTGAATTATCAGTGTTTGGTCTTTTTAACGGTTAATATAGCTTGATAATTATTTATCATATTCTGTTTACTTTCTTTGAGAAGCAAAATAAGCTGGAAATTTCAAAAATAATACTTATAGTATTATTTTTGTACGCCTAACCAAATCTAATAGCAAAGCTTTCTATTGCATAAAGGTGTGTAATATTGATTTAATTTATTATTCTAAACAAAAAGATAAAAATGGTAGTATAGAACATAAACTTTTAGAGACAAAGTGAATAATTAAACAAATTAATAAAACAAAATATATAACCCATGACAAATTATACTGTTGATTTTTCCCCATCACTTGTAACTTCTACACATAAAATTCTTGCTACTATATTACAAAAGTACAATTTTCGAAATTACCTTAGTGTGGACAAAAATCCGTTATAAGAACACTGAAAAATGTTCGCTCCATGCCCTACAGGGGAAAAATGCCTACGGTATTGAAATTTAGGTACTATATATAATCATCAAAATGTTTATTTAAAAGTAATGGAAATACGTACCTATATAAAACGTAATCCCTTCACAAACAAGTAAAACTAACTCATGCAAAGGTTATAACATAAACCATATGGATTGAAGTGCATAATTTATACAAAGAATGGAAATAACTTTAATTATACGTGGCGCCGAATGCCGACCTTGTCTTGTTTGATTGCACTTTGTGATGAGATGCAGCTGCATTCATCCAGAAATTCCCCTAAACCAAATTATAAACTGTCTGGAATATTGAAGAATGTACTCGTAATAAATATTTGGTTTCCTCATTATAAATGCCGTCGGGAGATGATAAAAAAATATGTAATATATACTAAAAGTCTTTATTCTCGATAAACAGTTTATAATTCGACCTCAATTTGTACCTGAGTAACCAAAGGTAATAAACAAAGATAAAATTTAGTATGTCTCAATTTTCCGAAATCCAAAGACAGTCGAAACTTTCAGATTTTTGCAAAGGGGAACAGACAAGCACGAGGTTTACTTCTAGGCATATAATATTTAAACAAGATACGCCGACTCTCTAGTTTTGGCATTCGGAAACTCGAAAAAACGGATTTGGTAGATTGAACCAACTGGCACTTGATTATTAATACATTACTATTATAAGACAAAGAGCCGGTTCAAATGTAAAGTATTAGTTCCGAATGACAGATTTGGAAAATATGAAAATCGTACTCGTATTTTCAAACATTTTGAAATTCATTAAAGACTGTTTATTGAAAGCTTTGGAATGGTTTAAGAAAGGGATCAGTCTAGTTCATGTAAACACATTCCTGCGAATGTAAACCAACGGCCATTCACCCACTACGTTCAATTATTTATCGGCCAAAGTATTGCCAGAGTAGAGATAAACAAGCACTAAACTATATGTATGTAAGTACAATTAGACATTTAAATTTTATGTGCATGAAAAAAAAACAGAACTTTACAATTGTTTACATTGAAACGTGTAAACCTGTTTTTTTACCGAGGGCTATTTTATCTGTAATAAGCAACAGACGTTAGTAAAAGGCTTTTATATAGTATCGTCTGTAACGCAAATAGTTTATATTTAAATATACTTTTAACGGTTTAAAACGCGAAAAATATTACTTCCATCATTTTTAATTTATTTAATCTGACCGAATCAACACCGAACAATCTAATTATAGTGAATTATTAATTTTATAATATTTATTTCATATGTAATATCTCTTCTCCCGTGTCATATTTTTATATTCAGTTCGAAAAACTTTGCGGTTGCTGTTCGTATTTAAATGTGTTATTTATTTAATTATGTATGTTGTAACAATTTCGTATGCAAATGTACATATGTGTCGTCGCTCTTTATTATATATAATTAAAATATATTCTTAATTAATCAATATTTATTTTTTCTTTTTCTTCTTGAATAATTTCTAACGTGCAAACAAATAAAGGGAAAGCTGACGGAAGGCTTACTAGTGACCCCTCACGATGTATGCAAATAATAAACAGTATTTTAAACCTTTAAACGCTCGTCGATGTCGGGAAAAAGAACAATCGATTGTAAATCGGTTTCCAATCAAGGACCAACATTCCGGCTCACATTGTTCACAAATAAATTTTAGTGCTAGTTTTTTAGGGTCGAGACATACTGAAGTGGTTTATTATGTTCCATTATTCAACTATGTTGTTAATGTAAACCTTAAAATATTTACTATAAAATCTGTACCATTTTTCTATGTGTAGGAATCACAAATCTTCAAAAAAACATAATTCAAATAAATTACATTTGACGGTTTGAAGCGCGAAATATATTTGTTAACTCACTAATATATCTAATTAATAATTATAATACTTTGGTTTTAAATACGAAACAATTAAAGTGTTTTATTTAAATACAAGTATATACGCATACAATTATTAAAGTATAAAAAACGAGATTGTTTTAATTGAAGGGGATGAGAATAAACACTCATAATTCCATAGTTACGTCTGGCAGGGAAGCTTTCGAAAGGGAACCTATTGTTTGAAATTAAATGACTTCCGTCAATGACACGCATTTTAAAAATTACTGACTTTTACTGATTTAGAATTTCCAGTGTTGTTAAAGCTTTTACTCCCAGTGTACTCTTAGCTTTATCCGTAAAGGCTATAAGTGCGGATCGGTAGCCAATAAACCGCCTTTGTAAGTGGCACGTGCCTCGTACCGTATTTATAAGTACGCACTTTTGTATGTTCGCCGCCCGCGCAAAATCATAATCATAACTTTCAATTCAATAAGGTAATGGAACTCTTTATTTCTAAAACTTTATTTTACATAGCGACGATGTTTAAGTGGAATTTATTTCGAGACGTCTTTGCTAATATTTAAGAAAAGGCGTTTGTTTTTTTACTTATTTTTTGTTTTGTTATTACGTAAAATTATTATTTTAGTCCTAAAGAATATCATGATTCTTGCAATTCGTTTTATTTATTTTAATACACATACATTTTGAGTATTTTTTTGATTGATGAGTGAACAAAAAATGTTTTTTTTTTCGTACCAACATTTTTTATTCATATACCTATAGATAATTATATAAAAGGGACACCTTAGTAAGGAGACTATTCTTAAAACACATATCTATAACAATTGTGTAAGTAGTGGGTAGAAATTATAATTATTGAATTGATTCCCTGTACCAAAAAAATATAGGCACGGGCGAATGCATATGTCCGATTCATTTACATATATGTAGTTTTATTTGTAATTTACTACATTAGAAGCTGATGAGACTTATGATTAGGGATATCAATCAAGGACTTCTCGTGGCTAACGAAAACGCGATTAACCATTGAGCTATGGAGTCCCAATTTACATACAGACATTGAAACATTCCGACGTATACAGTAGGTACATTAATTCAGTCTAAATGATGTCTGAATTCAACATAAAGGCGGCAGTGAAAAGAATTGGCGAGCCATAAATACGGCTTCACTATACAATGATGAAATATCCTATTACGGAAAGAACGTCAACAAATAAAATGTTATACATACAGCCACAAGATTGACTGTATTCCCACTGCTGGGACTGAAACCTCATATTTATACTAATACATATATAAAGCTGAAGAGTTTGTATGTGTATATGTTGGAACGCGCTAATCCCAGAAACAACTGATTCGAATTGAAAAATTATTGTTGTGTTAAAGCATTTATTAAAGAAGGCTTTAGGCTACCGTTTTTAACCCATAAGGATACATATTTTTTTCTCGTTTTCTCCATATTTTTTTCCACCCCTGTTAGTCGTAGCGCGATGTTTTATAGCCTTCCTCGATAGAATTTTTCAAATATATTCAGTAGTTCCTAAGATTAGCGCGTTCAAACGAACAAACAAACTCTTCAGTGTCATATATTAGTATAGATATTTGATTGGTGTAACGA